ATTTTACGATATTTATAATATAGCTTTTCTTTCCCTAACATCAATTCCTTAATTTTCACTCTCATAATCCCCTGATAATTTGAAATACAAAATCTAGCCTTATTCCTGCCCAACTTTTTCTCCTTTCATTTATATTGAGGCAGAAGACAACAAATAAGGTTAATTCCTGCCGCAATGCAAGTTGTCCAGCTGCCAAAGACTTTCTCATTTCCGACGTTATCTGCAGCTACACAAACCTCTCCGCAGCATTGAAACAATTGAGTGGAGGATTTTGAGTGTTGCAGCCCACCACGAAAAGTCATACCTTGGCATTCTTCAGTTTCATAGTGACGCTGCACTTCAAAGGCAGAAAAAGCAGTGGCAGAGTTCTTGGAAAATCTGTAGCGATTCAACTTTTTTGAATGTGTGAAAACTTAATAACAACAATCTGCTCTACTCAGCTAGCACCAGCAAACAAACATCTTTGCTTTTCAATGAACCAATTCTTTCTCTCTTCTGCTAAAGCTGGATGGTTGCCAAGAAGCATCCAACACTATGACCATTTAAAATAACATATGAGTGAGGAAAGCAGGCATTAAGACAAATAACATGCATTGACAAAAAAATTTTTTTTTAGTTATGAATTTATGAACCATCTACATGTCACTTTATGTCTAATTGAATGTCTGATCATAGCCAATGAAAAAAACTGTGATTAACAGTATTAGAAACTGACTGCGCTTTTGTATGAGACTCTCAAGATACTTTCATATGAATCTCTGACTACATTGAAACATGAATATTAAAACCAATAGTACAGAATAATAGTACTGATTAAAACCAAGCTTTATAACTACCAGTTTCACTAACTCAATGTGGTAAGCGTATGATCCATGCAATCACCGTTCTGCATTTTATGCATATGGTAGTTTTCCTTACAGTGTAATGCTTACTCAATGAAACAAAAAAAATGATTCCTTCTACTTTGATTCGACAAAAACATCACAATGTATACTTATACCTTCAGTTATGCTGAACATAGTTATTATAGAGCTTTAAATCAGTACCATTTTCAAACTACATATTTTTAACAACTTGTTCACTGACTACTAGCCATAATAAAACTACTCAGTGGTACAAATGATTTAATTACCACTTTTCATCTTCTCCAAAAAGAATGCTGACTCACAGAACTGAATCCCAGGCATGGCGACCGCATTTTCAATAAAGGCGAAAATGCTTGAGGCCCATGCGCTTACATTTACTTGCACGTTAAAGAACCCCGGGTGGTCGAAATTTCCTGAGCCCTCCACTACCGTGTCTCTCATAATCATATGGAGAGTTTGGGACGTTAAATGCCAATAATTATCATTATCCTTATTATTCTACAAAAACAAGTACAGTACAATTCACTTATAATGATATGCAAGTGCCAATGAAATTACATTGTTATAACCAATAATTGTTTTGAGTAGGTTGAGAAAAGAAAGACGAAAGAGAGGTCAAGAGATCTTGTTTGCATACAAGTAAGGTAGTACAACTATGTAGGAAAGCCATAGTCTGTCAGGTTTGATTGCTTCATGCGAAGCTTGCACACATATTTATCAAGAGCATCAAGGTGTTTCACGCAGCTGAGCAGGAGGACTTTTGCAAAAACAAAAAAAGTATCAGCCACTCAGCTCAGAGCGATGGGAGCACCTCAGTAGGCTGCTGAACTATGTCATCGCTCTCACCACTGTCAACAACATGTATAGGTACAACAGCCTCATCACTGATGCACTTGGACGTTTTCGAAACATCACCCGCACGGAGTAAGTGGTCCAGACATGACGCATCTACATTAAGCACTGACCACAGCTCCGGCCACTTTTCATCGACGGGCACTTCACATGCCTCTCCTGGCATTGCTTCAGAAGTTCGGAAGGAAAGCTTCTCCTCTTCTCGCTTCCTTGGAAAAGGCACAGTCGACATGTTTTCTAAGGGTGCGGATGGGGTGCAGGCCACAAAGCGGCGCATGCCGTCAGTGAGGAGAGCCATTTTCAGCACGTGATGCAGCCTGCTTCAATCACTATATCTAATATCGCAGTGAAGGAGCATCATAATTAATTTATTTTACCATACAAAAGTAGATGGTGCCATCGATGTTCATCGTTATATACAATATATTGTTAAAAAACAGGTGGACTCTACTATGCTGAAATCATTATTTTAGGGCAGAACAAGTCGAAGCGCCGTTCAAGGTCCTAAGTATGCAGACGAAATGTAACAGAGCCATGGAATTAGTTTCCCCAAGTATTTGTGTTGAAATAATACATAGATATATGCAATTCAGAACTGAAGACTGTCTTATTTCAAATCGGGTCTTTGAATAAAAGAGCCACTATTTGCGACTAGAAGCGCTTTTCTAATCGTTTTTGAATGATTGACTTGCATGGAATACACCAAATTCATAATCCACAAGTGCAATGCTCTACACTACACTTTTGCCAATCTTATGATGGCAGAAGTTATTGTTTAAATGAAAACTGTGTTCACTGTATGAAGAGGGGGCAGGTCTTTTGTACATGTTTTCATCACCAAAACCATGTCTACGCTTTCCATACCACAGTGCAAGTAACTGCGATTGGAAAAGATGCTTGATAAGATGACTGCACAGCCATTAGTTTAGAAGACTGTCTTACGCAAAAACAAGGCACGCAATTATCAGAAAGAGAAAAGTAAAACGACCATCCCGGCAAGCTTGCCATATGTAAAATGTGAGAGATGCATTTCAACACATTACTCAGCTGTGGTAGCAGTAACTTTCTTGTTAAAACCCAATCACACTCAAATTGCAATCTAGTATGGCATGATATAGTGGTATGGCATGATATAGTGGGTATTGCTTGGTACAACCCGTGTAATATAGTGCTGCCCACACATGCTCCCTTCAGAGTAAGTGTGTAAACATTTCATCGCATCATCACGTAGTACTGGCCCCATCAATCATGACCATACCAACTACAGGGAAGTGCTCCTTTCATATATCTGCAGTGGGCACAGATGACTACCATTTCCTATTGAGTCTCAAACGTGTGCACACATGCTAGCTGGTTAACAGGACTGTCGTTTTGCACATCATTCGAAGAATGCACAATACCTCACATGCTCCAAAGGTCCAAATTATGTAAAACAGTCAGCTTATAAATTTATCATGCTGCATTTTTGCTTCTAACAGAGAGCCCCACAAAAGTGCACTGCAATGACAAAGCACGCAAAGAGTGTGAATGCAACTGGGAAGCAAAGAGCACCTAAGTTGATAAAGGAAATGGGTGTCCATTATGCAAAGAGATTTCAAATAATATGCCGAGTACCAGAAAGTGCCCCACCCACGATCAGAGCCGTTGTCAAGAGAAGATGATGTCACAAGGCATCGCTGCCGATAAAATAAGCATTAAATGCTCTAATTCCAAGTACAACCATGCTGCTGAGGAATGAAATGAAAAAATATGTTTCTGTTATGGTAGAAGCTATTTCCAAGTATTGAAACAACTCACAGAGAGAGTTGTGTCGTTGTCCAGAAAAGAAATTGGAAGGGTCTCCCTTAATTACAGTCAGCCCGCACAGCGAAATGGAGACGCAGTAAGCTTCGTCCAAAGGTTTTCATGACTTGCACAGTAGTGCAACTACGAAGACTGGGAATGTTTTGTCAGTGCATTTTAAAAACATATCGCCGCTACCAGAGGCCCGGCACAACGCGTCTCAACACTCACACAAGCGCATAGGCACGAAAAAACGGGTCAGCAATATGACGTGGGTGGCACAGGGCCACATGTCGCACGAAAGTGTGGCGCAACCTTACCACCGGCTCCACTTGAGGACACACAAATAGCCCAGATTTTGTTCCTGCCGCCCAGTCGTGGTGCATACGTGAGGCGCAATCTATCAAAGGTGTTATCTTTGCCGTACTTCGGCTTGGGCGAAAATGGTGGAGGTAAGCACTGCTATATATATCTGGCCCTCTTCATCGCGACGATGCACATCTGTCGCGCCTTCAACCCATGCGCCGCTCAAAAAGCGAGTCTTTCATTTGCGCGTTATTTCTTTCTGGCCTGTCTTTCACTCGCTTAGACACTTTTTTGAAGATTACTTCAAAGTAGATTTTTTGCCGACGTCCCCGGTGTGGTCTTGGATGAGGCTGTCCGCGATCAAAAATAACTTGGTCTGCGCGAGGTGAGGAAGTAACTGCATGCAGGTGAGAGATGAAAAAAAAAAAAAATCGCGCATTTGCCGTACACAGGTAAGGAATGTCGATGTGAGCATGTATCGCATTCCCCGCGAACTGTCAATACGAAAATGGTTGCCGGTAATCACACTTTACGTTTGAGGCAATCGGGCGTGGAAACTAACGTTTCGTGGTGTAAAAGAGAACGTAGTGACAATGTAAAGAGAACATAGAGACAGCGATTCGTGAATGCCGAACTGTGACCAAATAATTATAACGAAAAGGCATTTGCGCGCCATTCGCGCTGCTTCGAGAGAAAAGAAACTAGACCTCGAAGTCAGACAATCCAGGAAACCAAATCACGTCGTCGTAAAATAGAACAGCTAGACGCACGTAATGAATGACAGCCGAGATGGTACCGGTCGCAGCTAGACAAGAGGGAAAGTTACGGTGAGAGCATTGTAGTAGCCACTTTGGTGGTGGCTCCAAAGCAAGTAGCACGGAAAATAACTTTGTTCCACACAAATTATGCAGTCAGCGAAGGAATCAATCATGTATTGCTTGACTGCTGCAAGAAAGGAGCGAAACTGAACTTTTCAGTGTAAGTGGTACGCGGTTGGCAACAATTACGCAATGTTCCTCGTTGAAACGGCGTGCACTTGCCCATTTTATCTGAAAGTTAACTATCGTTGAGACATTCACTGCACGAGATGGCTGGATTTTTTTACGTTAGGCTTAGTTGTAAGCGCTGTAGTGTGATCCGGCCGAGCAACAGCCGGCGGCACCGGCGAAATGGCACGGGCGAAACACTACTTACCTTGAACTCTCATAACCATGCTGAGTCTTACGCTTGAGTACCACAACTGGTAAATATGTCAACCTGCACTCATATTCCAATCTTTCGGACAAACAACACGAGTTTCCAACTTGTGGGCTCCGCGCACCCGGTAAAACAGCGAGCAGGCAGGCAGAGACCGCGTCGTCGACGGCGTGGTTAAAAAAAAAAAAACAGTAAGTAAGTAAGTAAGTAGGTGCTCCTAATCCCTTTTGGCACAGGGCAGGCGCCAGCAGCGCCACAGGACAAAGTTGTGCGCTTCAACGCACATCCATACACACGCACACACACATCACCAGTCAGGCGCTTGCCGCGCCACCGTCAAAAAAAAAAAAAAAAAAAAAACATTTTGTGTTTTACACGCACTTCACGCGAACACGCACTCACACGTTTTCCACTTTACTGTTCGAAGAAAGAAAAGGTCTGGTAGTAAATTGCCAGTTTCGCCACCAGGGGAAACGTGCCCTCGGCCAAGTCTATCCAGTGGCGTCGGCGTCGTTTAGATATTTTCTGTCGGCCCTTCGTTGCGCTGGACACTGTCGGGGTGTTTGTCCACCTGCCAGCACAGTCTGTCCCAGAGTTTTAGACGTCGCTTGGCACTCTCGGTGTGTTCGACTCGGGTGTCGACGGGATCATCTGGGAGACCCAGATATTCCGCCAGGTTTATCTTGGGTAGGTCCCTCGCTCCGAGTCGCGGGCAATCCATCAGGATATGTTGGATGGTTTCTTCCGTGGCCCCGCATAGGCGGCACGACGGGTCCGTGTCGAACAGTTCCCAATGCCGCTTCCGCGTGGGCAGTGACCCCGTCCTGGCTTGGAACAGGAGGGCGCTTTCCCGGTCGCCCCTGTAAAATGGCTCACGGTCTGGAGCCTGCTTGTATTCGAGGTATAACTGTAGGCTCCTTTTCTTTGCCGCCGACGTGCGCCACATCTCTGTGCTGGCTTCGGTTATAGTGTTTTTTGTTATTATACGCCATTCTCGTTCCGATTTTGCTTCTTCCAGTTTTGGAAGAAGCAACACTAGCCGCAACCGTGCGGAGGCGCTGCAATCGGAACCGCAATGTTTTTGTTTTTTTCGCTCGTCTCCTACGGTGCTTTGAAAGATTGAAGTCGTTGTTTGATTGTATGTGAGTGGTGCCAGCTGCGGTGAGTGCACGTAGACAAACTTGCGTTTCTTGTGAGAAATTCGTTCGAGAGACTTCGAGATTCGCCGTAGAATTTCGCCGAAGCCCCGAAGCCTCGCGCAGCCGAGGATAGGTGGCTGTGCTTCAGCGGCGCGCTGCAAGACGTCGTCGGTGGATATGTGATGACTGCACGAGTAGTACATGTATTGTAAATGGCCCTGTGAAGACGGTCAATGAAGCTTTGGTACACGCGAAATCCTCAAGTTTTTTGTGCGCCCCTAGTGCGTTAACACTAGTAGCGCACGTTGTGGAAACAACTCGGCCCTTTCAAACTGCGTAATCAACAAGCCCTGTGTCACTGCGGCCTCTCTATCCGTGTAGAAGAAAAACAAACGCAGGAACTCGTAATGGCTCGACGAGATTTGGACGAGACCGCAAACAGTCCGCATGTGGCGGACAGTGACGACAACGAGTCCGGGGAATTCGAAGGTGCCGTCGGCGGCGTAGCGGCACACCCAGCGCCGTCACCGTGGGCTGCATTCCCGGATCTCATCAGAGTCCGCACGAGCCCGGGAGGAACGGGCAGTATGGGAAGCGAAGGTAATCATCAACACGGCGATGTGCAAGGGGACAACCCCTCGGGACCTCGAGTCAGGAATGCGAACCCGCCCGACGTCTCGCTGCACGCTCGCGAAGGTGCGCCCAGCGACGATGTCAACCTTCTCAATTTTATACCGAGCTCTCATCAGCGAGTCGGAGGCGCACTTCCCGACATGGCTGCCGAATCGGAACTCAGGCACACCATGCAAGCGTCGTCGTCCCTTTCGCCGGCAGCGCGGGAGCACATCGCCGAGGTGCGCCCGACTCTGCGCGGCTCGCCGCACGACGCCGGGTCGTCGTCTCGCCGGGGCGTCAGCGACCAACCCGGCACGTTGGCCAGCATGGCTGCTAACGTCCAAAGGAGTTCTGCGATGTGCCGTGGCGGCCGACCTTCCTGTGGCCGAGACAATTGTCCCGATGCCGTGGACGCAGCTGCGCTGCGGGAGTCCAACACCGCGCTCACGCGCCGCCTTACCGCGAGCGAGAGCCGCGTCCGAGACCTTGAAAGCCAGCTGCGCGACTTGCGCGAACGCGAGACGCGCAGCGAACGCAACTTCCAACTGGTATTGAACGAGCTGCACCTCGTTCGCGAGTCTCTGATGGCCGTCGAGCATTCTTCAAGGACCCTAGCCTGAAAAGTTCGAAGTGAACTTCGGGGCTGGTGTAGCTTCCGCAAGCGTCAAAGAAGGGAGTGCCAGGGCAACAGACGCGCCTCTTGTTTCCAATGTTGAAGACCGGCTGTCCAGCATCGAAGCTTCGATAGACAGACTTTGCTCGAGAATGGCAAGCCTTTCTGGTCGCACAGGACATGGATACAGGATCGAGCGTCCCTAGCCCTGCGGTCCAGTCACTTACTAAGGAAGAGGTAACGCAGGCAGTGCAGGAGGCTCTGCGGAGGCAGTCGACGCAACAAAAATCGCTGCTTGAGGACGAGCGAAGGCGTCTCATGCAGTCATTTGCCGAATCCTTCCAGGTTGCCATCTCCCAGTTCCTTCAGTCAGCTGAACTCGGACAACTTGGACAGTTAACTGTGTTTGCGAACTGGCAGGTCGTTCGGTTTCTCTACCGTGAATGAAAGAAAAACTCTCTTGTTCTTTCAGGTATACTGTCACTTCACATGTAAAAGCTGTAGAGGCACTGAGTACTCTGGAACAAAGAGGTACACAGCTTGTAAATGTAGGAGGTTGGTTTTCTTCTGAACAGCATATAGTTTTGTTTCATGTTAGCGATAATTCCAGCCAATTGCACAGCAATGTCTTTGTAAAAGAAGGAAAGTGGTTTTGCTAAATTAAAAACAAAGTATCCACGGGAAGTATTGTTTCTTTTGGTGAAGCTGGTGCATTTGCAAAGGCAGATTATCAGTCATTACATCCGAGCTGTCTTCCAAACTTGCAGCTTATCCACTCTATAGTATTCGCCAGAGAGAAACAAACTAAAAAGCGCCATTTGTGGCTCTTCTAGATAATGAGAGGTAGCCACCAAGCACTTGTCGCCAGCTTTATTACAGCCTGGTGATTGAATGTGAATACTGACATATAAATTCAGCAGCGCTTCAAAAGGACCAACCAGACACACTAGCAGCGACAGTTGCAGCTTTGAAACACATTGTTTTGATACTTAATATGTGCACATGACAGCACTTTTATGAATGTTTCGTGTGCATCCTTCCTCACTTTGTTTGCAGCACGCTGGTACCTTTGCTCTTGGTGCACTTATTAGAGCACAGTCATGCCCTCAAAGCACCTGCATGATTCATGTATTTAGGGAGGTATTTGCATAGCTACAACAACATTTCTAGCTTCGAAATAGGCATGTTCGCTGAAATTTCACTGTGCTTACTGAAACCTCTGTCAGTAAGTACTGTTAATAGAACAATTGCATTACAGTGCACATAGCAGATTTTTTTTATGTGCGCATTCAGTATTTTAACTTCAAGCTTGAAAGGATCCCTGACAGTCAAACTTTTGTTCCACTTCTTTGCTGTTTGACTCCTTTGAAACGCCTGCCTAAAATTGTAAGAAACTAGCACCCCAAGCCGAGGAGCAGCTAAGTGCACGTGCACTTCAACTTTGGTAATGTTGACAGCTGTTTTCAAATCGGGGGGCCCCCTGTGCGGTGTAGAGTGAAACTATGTGGGTTTGGTACCACTCCGGCTTGTTCAGAACGTGCCCCCTCAGGAAAGAAAGCATTACTAGCATAACCAGCCAAAATCACCCGACAACAGAGTGAAAAGGGCTAGGAACAATAGCCCGCGTCAAGTGGCAGTCATGGTGTTGTGCATGTCCCGCAACTCTTCTGTGACATCGCATTACTAACCTCTCCTGTGGGTTGTCACGTGAGGCCTTCGTATACATCATAGTAATGGTGATCTCGGAAAGTGCTGCCAACTCAGTTGAGCACACGCGCTTACTTTAAAACCAAATTGAAACGTCCTGAAAGTTATGTTCGCCACTAATAACAGGCCAGAAGTGTTCACGTATACAGGACAATCGAACTTATTGAGGTTTCAAGTTCGTGTTGGGGGACCTTTAACGCATGTCGCTCGTTGCTTGAGCATGCCATGGTGAAAATGTCGAGCGGCTGTAGTAGGCGCTACGCTTGTAGCGGTGGACGATAAAGAATAGAATCAAGCCAAAGAAATCTCTGCATTACACCGTTGTGCAATAGTGGCAATTTCTACCTTATTGTTTTTCTAGCTTGTTATAATAAATCAAAATCTTCAGACTTCATTTCAAATACAAAATGTTATCAGGTCAAAACAAAAATGTCAATTGCAAAAGAAACACGAGTATTAGTATGCGCTACATTTCTCGTTCAAAATTCTTTTTATCTGTTGTATCTCAAAACACTGTAAAACAGCATTTTTACTGCCAAGATTAGGCTCTCCATGCTGTAGATGATAGTGGAATGGGAGGAGAACCTCCTCCCATTTCCATGTTCCAATGTGTTGGAACACATTTGTTTGACTACGCATTAGGTGAAAAATGCAACAGTGCCCAGTCACGGTTTCATCCCCACCTAGTAGTAAACATCTGCTGCGAGTCTGTTCGAGCGTTCCCAGGTATGAAACAATGATAGTTCTCTAGCTAACTGAGGCTTGCTAGAGCAAAACGCTATAAGTAGTTGGTTTTGCTTTTCAGCCGATGATATTGCGATGATATTGATATTTTCAGCCGATGATATTGAACACGCTTATTAGATAATAGAAATCTGCAATTTTTTTACCAGTGTAGGTGTTACAAGATGTAGGTTGTGCCTCGGCACCGCTCCAGAAATTTTTAAGACTTTGAATGGCTACTCATGCACAGTGAAATGATAAGACTTCCATGTTATTAGACCAAGATTAGCATACCAGTGCAATGTGCATATGTACATATACTTACCATTACAGCCAAACATGGAGTTTAGTTATCTGCCTGGAGGGTTCCACCACAATTGATTACTTTTATGCATTTTTTTACTACCCTTTAGAAATCTCTAGAAAACATTTGATTGCAGCTATGTGGGGCTCGCACGATGATGATGTTCGCACTTAGAAAATGTGCCACAAATAAATTTTTGAGGATCACTTTGTGTAACAGTGTTTTGCTCCTTTGCTGCAATGTATGCACATCGCTGCACATTTACACATTAACTCTCTATTTACGAAAGTCTCGATTAAAATTTCATGGGCTAGTCGCACACCCGCACTCCCCTCTGCCTCGAGAAATATCCAACAAGCTGTGCCTACTTGAGTGCATTGCTGTACTCAAATACATCTATCAACCTTTTTTTTTCGTCCAGTCCAATTCAGAAAACAGAAAATTAATGGATTCCCAAGCCATATCAAAATCAGTGACATTGCAAAGAGTTTTGCAAAAGTTGTTTCCAATGCCTCCTTTCCAATGTCTTGGCTCGAATTTCAAAAGCTCGTTCAACCGATAGAGTTTAGCAGCTCTAGCACGTAGCTGTTAGGCACAGATTTCTGGCTTCAGAGATGTCACTTGTAACCTTGAAAACAGGGTAAACGAGCATAGAGAAAGATCAACACGAACTGCAGAAAGTAGAGTGGAAGTATGAGGAGGAAAGCAGAGTGCCACACAAGACTACTAAGACGAATTACCTACAATCTGCGCCCCCTAAGCAGAAGCTTGTTGCTACCAACACCAGCAGCACCCTAGAGGCTGCTCCATTGAAATAGATGCTAAACATCATCACCAAGAAAATTCTGCATTTTTCGCTGTTGAGGCTGAACAGTAATGACTGAACTACTGCGCTACGAAATGAGAACATTTCATACCGGTGGTGGTTTTGGGACGTTAAACCCCACATATCAATAGCAGGAGTACAGCTGTACTCAAATTTTGTGCTTGGGAGCATCGCCATCATTGGAAATTCTTTTCTTACATGTTACTTTACGTTTGAAATGTTAAGGCAGCTTTTATTCAAGTTTCAACACGTTTCGATACAATGCAGTAGGGTAATGTAGTAATGTATATGAAGTTCAGAACTGCATGAAAAAAACTAGAAACAGTTTCAGAAGTACAAAAACCTTGATAAACAAGATTTTATTTATTTGAGTGACCAGTAAAAAACAACATATCTGTTATGAGCATTGAGGAATTGGGGCAGAAACACTACAGAATGGCAACAAAAAAAAGAAAAATCATAAATGACAAAGCATTCTGTATAACAGTTGATAACTTAGGTCAATGTGCATATTTTACAAGCATGCATTCCGATTAATGGTTCAAAGCTATGTGAATTCTTAGACTTCTTTTACTAAAATTTGGCACTACAAATTAAGTTAAACCAGTCAATGCGATCTGAATGGCCTATCAAAACACTCTATAGTCATCAGTGATGTTTCAAGATGTACACTCAAACCTCCATATAACGAACAGGGATATAACAAAGTAAATGAAAAATGGTCTTGCAGTAGATAACAGTGTTAGGGATAACCTTTATATCAAATTTTCGGATGTAACAAACAAACTTACTTTCTTGCAAGATTCAACTTTGTTGTAGTTAGGTTTATTTAGCGATGGCTCACATAACTGCACCATCAGTTTTTGTCTTTAAACCGAAAATCTCGTTCACTCCGAACTAAATATTTATAATAAATAGCACAATTGTGCGCAACATGCGTTGATATCGGACATTAACCAAATCGAGCATTCTGAAATATGCAACGAACTGCGTGCGCTCACAGATTCTGTACGTATTGGTAGAAACGCTATGTCAGCCAACAGCATTTTGAAGCCAGAACCTGACGTGCAATGAAGTGAATAGCATGTCTAACAAAGCAAAACAAAAACATTAAAATGACAGACTGTCAACAAACAAAAGCAACACTACACTGTATGCACACAACACTTGGAACCGCAACAAAAGTCCCTCAATAACATAACAGCACTTGCCCAAAGTCGGCCTGCATTCTCTGATGCAGAAGAAAAAATAACTCAGCCCAAGATGACAGGATCAACGTCTGACAACTAACTGTACACTATACATGTAATGCAAACACCACAAAAAAAAAAAAACAGCCTTCACAGCAGTTCGAACCTGCGTAATAAACAGAATGCATTGCAAGCAGCAACCTAGGCATGTGTTCATTCAATGTCCAAGTGACTGCAAGTTCCCTGCCATATTGACACAAACATACGATGAAAAGACAACCACCCTAAGTGGTCAGACGCACTACCAGGCATCCAGCAGAATGCAATGCACTGCTGTAATAAGACAAGACAGACATAAAGGGAGGGGAGAGAGAATCAAGACTGCTCGCTGCAGCAAAACAACCATTCAGTGGTTTGTACATCTCACTACTCTGATGTTGCGCGACGACGACGGGACGGCCACGCCTTCGCTGTCATTGTTGTGAGCGACGCCGTTATTGCTGGTGGCGGCACTGTCACGCTGAGATCTCTGCAGCACCGTGTTTCTCGTGGTGTAGCGCCTAAAGCGTGGATAGTCGACGAGTCCCGGAAAATGCAGCCTGTACAGGTAGCAAGAGAAGTTGCGCCGTTCGTCCTTGACAAGGACCACCATGGTGTCGAGGTCCAGCGTCAGAGTGTAGTCGCAGAGCTGCGGCGGGAGTGAAAAGACAAATGTGTAACTAAGGGTGGTTGTCAACTACAGTCCGCGACAAGCTAGGAATAAAAAGTAAAATGCACCGCTGTCCACTTGCGTTATGTGCGTCCAACTGCAGCTGCTGTTTACTATGACGTAGCAGTCACGGCAAATAAATGACAAATTCAGCATGGTGCCGTTGGCGATGAGAGGCGATGTGCCGCTGCACAGAGACCGGTAGGCGTACATTCGGTTTTCCTGCAGTGTTTTCTTCAGCAAGAAGAAGCTATTTCATACACTTGCCCTCGGCGTCATCATCGCCGGCTGTCATTCGATACTGACGTTTCTGATTTTGCAGCATTTGAAGCGCACCTGAAGTGGCACAGCTCCATCGCGTTACGTCGTTTCGGCAGCGCTAAACAGCAACACGGCCTCTGTTCTGTGTTTATCTGGTTTTACCGTGTCCGGATTCACCAAGCATATCGCCTGAGGTTGACAAGTCCTGACGATTGTCGCAGTCATTCGTGTGCCGTGAGGTGACGTCTGTGATTCACCGCCCGCAAAATGTGCGCATCTGTGATTGTGCGCATTTGTGAAAATGCGCACAATCACAGATGCGCATTCAGAGATGCGCGAAAATGTTCGCATCTGTGAATGTGCGCGTCTGTGGTTCACCGCTCGCGTGTGCGTGCGTGCGCGTGTATGTGTGTGATTAATTTGACATGTGTCTATTGGCACAGCCGCATCATCTTACCAGAACAGATTTTCACCGGCTTAGAAATACAAGTCAGGCCCGTTGCGTAAGCACTTGTCTCACGCTAGATGCATGAACACCTTGCATGAAAAACACTGTGCAAGGCTCATGAAATGGTGTGTGCTATATACTATCCCTGCATCAATCCTGATCGTTACTGAAGTGACGCTGCTAAAACTATTACTGAGCGACAAAAAAAAAGGGGGGGAGAAAGATTGTTTTTAAGGCGTTGTATGATACTTTTCGATATCTTGTTAGGAACATTTACTTTTGTCTAGCATGTTTTCGTTTTACATTTGTTTATGCACATGGATTACATAGTGATAAATTGTTTATATCAGAAAGAGTCCCGTGAAAGAAAATATAAAGGATGCATTGCACTCCCTTGTGTAAGCAAAGTCTGCCATGCTACTCACTTGTATTTACTGGTGAGAGAGAATCCTCTTGCCTTGTGCCTTTGTACAGACACAACTTCACACAGATACATTTATAGAAGGTATTGGCCCCTATTTCAGCAAAACTGGGTCCCATTATATCTAAGGGTTTACGGGACATGGCCACACCATGAATTGTATGTTGTCGAAGCAAGAAAAAGAATCACCTCTGGTTCGAACCGCGTTTGGAAACCTTTCAATTACATTTTTGGTGGGCACAAACACCAGGCTACGCGACTGATGGGCTTCATTATCACTTTCACAGAATGCCAAAGCTAGGGGCGTATTTACTTACTGATCGCATTTTCGGCAGAGCTAGTTATTAGGCTAGAGTACCTGAGGACGAAAGGCTTCGAATAGTCGAACTGTACACCAAAGAATAGAGCCCGCTTGCTGTCACTGCCATCGCGAAAAGGCCACTTTCTCATTACCAGCGTAATCATCAGCATTATGAATGTAATTTTTTTTACTGCCTAGTTCTGTCACGCGTAGTCTTATTTTGCTTACCAATATCTGCATTGTATTTTGTGTTTCGCAGGGCACAGATGTGTTTCATTACCTTTGCATTATTCAAATGCTTCGAGGCTACAGATATGACCTCACTCGACCTGTCTGTCACAAAGGTTTTAGGAATAAAGTTTTCTTTGTTTACTTTGTAGTGTTCTACGTACACCGTTTCTTGGTGCGCGTGATGGTGGAATGTAATGATTTTCGGAAAAGTGAACGCTATTCGCACATTCCAAATAAGGAGCTTCTAGCGTTATCGCTTAAACGAAGCAAACGAAATGTAACGCGAGTTATAACTAACATTTGCTGGGTATTGCAATCCACGATAATTATATAAGTTTGTGTCCTGCCGTAGTAGGATATATTGAAGTATATTCAAACACGTGTTTCCTTAACTTTTTTTCTGAATACTATAGGCACATGGCTTTTTTTTTTTTTTTGCATTTCGCCTGTATTCTGAAATCGACTGCTCTGGGCATGAATGTAATCCCAGCGAAGCTGCCGAGAAAGCACAACAAACGAACGACACTTTTTTTTTCTGCGCGCTGATTACCCGGGGAGAGCAGGGAAAGTGGCGGGGACATGAATCGCATCACGGAAAAGAGAACGCGGTATCCAGCGCACTGCAAGCGCCGGAGTAAAAAGTAGCAGACGAAACATGGCGATCCTCACCCTTTCGCATCTATGCGCATGCATTGCGTTTACAAATCTCGCCGCCAGTTTGCGCCACGTGGGCCGCCAGCTATGCGTTGCCGCATTCCCTCCAAGAGAGGACCATACTGTACATTCGGTGTTAAGCGCAGCACAAGAATCGAAATTCGCGAAGACGATCTCAGATCGCTTCTCCATTCTTCACTTTGAGCCATAGTTACAGAAGACAGCAAAGAAACCTGGCAGCAAAAGTTTTGTAAAGCAACGAAAAATTACAAACAACTTTATGAAGTGTAATTAATGTCCCTGTTTCATTTCGTACAACTACAGAACGATTCCATTATTTTTAACATCACGTTAAATGTGGCATTATTTGCTTTTAAGTACCACCATCAGGTACCGGTGCAGAAACGTCGCCTTCGAGAGATGTACATTGCTTCTTCAAGGACTCCGAAAAGAGCGCGGTGGGGATTGTGATTTAAACAACAGATATATTGCCAAGCTGACGCTGAACTGTGTGCTTTCGCAAGTTCATTTATTGAGCTCTGGTGTCTTTATTTCAATATCAATGAAGTGTTGAGAGATAATGATTGTATTCTTGAAAATTATTGCCATTGTTTGGGAACTACTTCCTTTGTAATGCGGAGGCATGGAAAATAAGGGCATGCGGCCTCGTGGGTGGAGTTTAAATTTTTTCTTAAATTGCCATCGACTACAGCGGCGGTGTTCAGGATTCTCGGACATAACACCCACGAGAGTAGGCATCAGCTTTCCGTTTCTTTCTTTGAACACGTCAACCAAGAAAGCATCACGTAATATATCACGCCCATTCGATCATCAAATACTTCTAAACACCGCATAACAGCATCATTTCGAAGAGTTCTTGAGTCCACATTATCGTCGTAGACTCGTGCACAGCTGCAACACCTCAAGTAAATTTTACCCGCTGGGCCGTCTAGGGGTGTATAATTTCCCTAGTTTATAGCACATATAATTATAGCACATATAATTGAGTCTCGCTATAGCAGAGTCGCATCCAACATAAAAAAAAGTTCATTATGTCCGATACTATTTATCATAAACATATATCTGTTACACAGCAGTGAGACAATTTATTTTGCTTCTTTCGCTTCCATGCATTTGTCAAGGTACATACATATGCATTCGATAAAAATATAATTTGCGCAGAGTCTCCCTCAAAAAAAAAGGGGGGGGGGTCCCTTCTTAAGGACCTCAACAAAGTTCACTACCTAGCTACAGAGACTGCCCCGTACGGGTGGCATTTGAAACAGACTTTTGGCATCGTCCAAAAGTTGACTGCAATTAATTTTCAGCATTATGCCAATTCAGATTTTGATATTAAAAATGACGGCAGAAACCATGTAACAATGACTGTTAATGCTCATACAGATAGCGTCGGTGACATTTCAAAACATCAACGAACTTCTACTGCACTGCCAGTCCTTGCACTAACGACTGAAGTAAGAAACGCATTACAACGCTCCCATATTTTGGACACAACAAGGGAAGACAAGATTCACGGTACTTTCTATTTCTTTGTCATGCCTTAAGTCCTTCTTGCAATGACGTACTTGCCACTAGATTTTTCAGAATCGGAATCAACTTTCATTAATATTATAATGCGCCACTTTATTCAGTCCAACTCATGCAATCACATACTGATGACGATATACATAAAGTTTACTACTCTTACCTAGAGCAGAAAGTGGCGCTGCAAGCTTTTGGACGCATGTGACGCATGCCGCAATATGTGAGCTTCGAACTTTACTTGGATTTGTATCGTTCACGTACAGCCCGAACACCTTGAAGACGCATCTGGCTTCAACATATTCCTTGTGTCAATATAGTTGATTTCTTGCTGAAGGAGCACGTAGTCAGCTTTTTATTTTTTATCATTGTTCAGAAACAAATTTTGTTTCACATTAGAAACTTCTGCGCTGATGAACATTTTTACGATGCTTAAAAAGTAACAAATGGCTGCTAAACTTGGCACGCAAACCACAAAGGCAGCATTAACTCTGCCACAGCTAGTAGTCTGTTTTTTTCACCGTTTGGTATGACGTAGAGGTGAGTGGGCTTTTAGAATATAATACGTATGAATGACCCCCGCTTATAAAAGATTTGTTTTAGAGCAGCTTCACTTACGAAGTCGTATTGCTTTTGAGCCAAGGCCTCGCTCAACACCAGCCAACACAAGCCTCGCAGATGCATATACGTCATTCCCAGTGCTCCAACGATGCCCCTTAAGAAATTAGCATAGGACGGTGGAGCCAGATTTCCTTCTAGGTATCTTTGTGAAAAACTCTATGATGATATAAACAGATGAAAAAGTTGTACATATCACGTCGATATGTCCAAAGGACAAAAAAGAGTGCCGGCTGCACTCGAAGTATTCTCTATCACACCGGAAGCAGCTGCCTGGTCGCGTGACTGTGACAATAAGTGCCTCGGGTGCATGGCTTTGACTGAGAAACTGTGCACTACTTCTCTCTTACGGCTATTGTGACCGAAAGAAGGTCTAGGGACGAGATCAGAAATTAACTGAGGATGTTTGCTCAATGATCGTGTAAGGTCCAATAAAATGACTCGCGTCTTCTTCACATAAGCTGGGACCGCGAATGAGAGTCCAAAGAACTTTGCCTCAAGGGGAAAAGGTCACAGCAAGCATGATGAGTGATGTTTTAGTGGGGCTTCAAGCTTCCTGGAGATGCCGGTGTTCAATCGGGTCAGGTGATGGCAGTGAGAAACGCGAGACAAACGTCATTTAGATAAATGACCTGCTGAGGGTACAGCAGCCGAAAGGAACGAGATGTTTATAGCTAAAATCGGTGCGCGTCCATGGATCAGGCGAAAGAGAGAAAAGCCTGTGGTGCGTTTGCGTAGCCGTATTTTGGGCAAAATGTCACTGAATGGCAAGATTGCATCCTGGTTCATGTGGTCAGGGTTCATGAACATTGGGATCATATACGAGATGGTGCATTGAAAGCATTCAGTCAAGAGGTTGGTCGGCATAAGGTAAGACAAAGTTGTCAAGTGAATTATGTTAGTGGCACACAGAACCTCAGCAACAATAGAAGAAAGGAAGACTTTTCTAGCAGAATGCATGGAGCTCCATGGCATAAAAAAAAATGTTTTGTGCAGAAATAAGATTGGGGGCTTCAGTGGCAGCCGCAGCTTGTAACAAAGCTGTTTCCGCATAGTGGGTTATATGCCACCAGCCGTCACAATCCAAATATTCTCATTAGAGATCACAGGAAGGGGCCTATACAAGTCTACCCCTATGGCATAATTTCTAAAAAATTGGTATGCCATAAGTTACAACTTTGCAATATAAACACTACAACTTTGTAATATTAACATCTGACTTCACATCAATAATTAAAAAAACTAATTTTCCAGTTTGGTTTTGGTTAATTAGATCAATCAACATCATTTTACCTAGCTGCAGGATAGTATTTTTGTCTCGACATAGTGTTCATGTGAATAAAATAGCTCGACTGTCATGAAATGTTTATAAAATATCAATATTGTAAAAAACATGCCCTGAATACAGATTAAAAATGATGACATGTCCAGGTTTTCTAGTCCAGTCATACAAAAATCTGAATAACGTCCCTGTGTCACAAACAATTTTTCAAAGAAATATACTTCCCTAGTGTGCAGGGAACGTTTTCAGAAGGAGGATAGAGCCGAAAAATAGTACAGAGTGCACATTGCAACCAATTTTTTTATTGCACGGATGGTAGGAATATATATACATTCAAGAAGGCGAGGAGATCACACAAAAATGAAAGGACAAATGATGGCGCATGCACCAGCCCATCTTATTCCAACCTTGAAATGAGAACCTAACTGAGAAGATACTCGTATTCATTATCCGACAGATTGACGGATGGGGCACTTACATACTAAGTTCCTGCTTTGCAAATCAAAAAAGCTTCATATATTTCACGTGCCCTCTTGTCTTCATACCTTGCCATTACTTGGCACTCATCAAACTTCGGTGTGCACCCGCAATTTGCACAGTGACTTGCCAAATCGCTGCCCACTGATCCGCGCACCAGATTTGTCAATCTGTCGGATAATACATACGAGTATCTTCTAGTGCATGATGATTGATTTGTGGAGTTTAACGTCCTGAAACCACCATATAATTATGAGAGACGCCGTAGTGGAGGGCTCCGAAAATTTCGACCACCTGGGGTTCTTTAACGTGCACCCAAATCTGAGTACATGGGCCTACAACATTTCCGCCTCCATCCAAAATGCAGCCGCCACAGCCGGGATTTGATCCCGCGACCTTCGGATCAGCAGCCGAGTACCTTAGCCACTAGACCACCGTGGCGGGGCATCTTGTAGTGCATTAGCATCGACGGCATGGAAGGGCCGACTCCCAAAACTCGACGAGTGCACCACGATGCCGCTTTTAAAAGAAAGAAAAGTCATCGCGTGTGCCGAAACAGACGGAAATTGGGCCGCATTGCGGTCGTTCGGAGATCCCGAAACGTGCGTGTGGGACTGGGGGAAACAAAAGCAGAAGATTGTCGACAGCAAAGATTCACGCAAAGGCTTCAGTGGACCACAGCAGGGTCGGTTTCCGCAAATTGAAGAGCTGCTCGGTGAGTAAGTGCTTGAGCAGCGAGCGGCCCATGACGACAGAACTGCTCTAAATGCGGGCTATGCAGTTAGATTTAGAAAAAGGGCTAACGCGGAGCCAGTTCAAAGCGAGCAGGTGCTGGCTAACTAACTTTATGAAGAGGAAAGGCTTTTCCCTCCGAAATCGAACGGGCATGGGCCAAAACTTGCCGGAGGAGTACAAAGAAAAGCTTCACAGTTTTCAGAGGTTCGTCCTAAACTTGCGGCACAACAACGGCTACCTGCTTGGGCAAATCGGGAATGCCGATCAGACGCCTCTTTACTTCGACATGCCTGGCACCACAACCGTCGAGAAGAAGGGGGCGAAGCAAGTTCGCATGCTGACATCGGGCCACGGTAAAACAAGAGTGACGGCAATGCTCCGTTGCACGTCAGATAGGCACATGCGTCCCCCGTACCTCATATTTAAACGGAAGACGCTCCCGAAAGGAGTCGTTTTCCCGAGTAGTGTGATCGTGCGGGCCAACGAGAAAAATGGGTGCGCGTTGCAATCGATGTCTTACTTTTTTTTTTGTCGCGAAAACCGAGTGCGCGTTACAATCAAGGGCACAGTAGAATCGAGTAAATAGGGTATATTTCTTTCAAAAATGCAATACGAACCAGCCCAAGTAGCCACTCTTTTGCAGTATGTCACAACCAATGCAGCAGCAACAATCCCAGCTATGATGCTGGTCTCTGCTTTTACCCCACCACACATTCGGATGTACAGCACCAAATCACCTCAAAGGAACCCTAAAGAGCTGAATTATTTTTGCGTATTAGTAAAGTACAGTTTCGTGATCGTGAAAACACCACTCTCACAGTTACATGAGGCTTAGCAAGCGAGAAAACACGCGAAAAGAAAATGTGGGTGGCGACACCACCTTAAGATTACCTCACTGAACACCACGATGCAAGAAATTTCGAAGGTATCTACTGGGTCCTATGTAGCTTCCAAATGACAAAAATGAAGTGCTTTGTAATCAGTGGGTGGCATAGACTTAGCATACGAACTTTCAGAAAAACATACTGAAAATACATTTTGAAAGTTCTTGCATTAAGCGCGGATATTTTGGTGCGACATTTAATAATAGAACTTCAACCTTGATTTTCTCCGCTAATAATGAAATTATGACAGTTAGAGATCACAGAGTGTGTTTGTCACCAAGTCATTGTTCCTCTTTAGTGTCTTTTTAAAGGAGCGCCGACATCAAATTTACTCATGCCAAGATTTTTACGTCAACGAGTAGATATAGACCCCGTAGCAGCAATTTGTGACCTAAAACCCAACTGAGGGACGAATAACTATCACTTTTATGGATTTGTATTACCAGTATCTAGCACCATTCAAAACTGCCGGCAATCCCGCCATTTTTAGCGCTGGCAGCACTACCAGTGGTACAACCTCGCGGTAACCTCCAGATCGCACCACTGCTGACCACTTGTCCACAGAAAAGAGTGACGTCCGACCCTTTACAGAACAGCCATTCTATAATGAACACCGTTTCAAGCAGCGTTGAGGAGGTGCCCGAGGATTCCATGTTCACTCATGTGTCTTAGCTATATTGGTGTGTTTTGGCGTGCACAGCATTCAGGTATACGCAGAGTGGTCAATGGAATATCGCTAACCGAATGAGCATCATCGGAGAAATAGAATACGTTCCCTGCTTGCTGGGTTCTTTTTTGCGCCTCCAGATGGCCCCACCTATCCAGCCTCTCAAGGTTGTGGCGGCAGTAACTCGGTATTACGCGGACGAAGAAGTCTACAGATGAACTAAAATTCAATGATACCTGCGTGTTACTTGCTTGCGATGGTATCTATGCTGTTCCACTTTCATAGCTTGTGGTTTTGTTGGCGTGTAACATATACGTGATATGAAAAGACACTCTCATTGCGCTTTTTCCGCACTTCGAACGAAACTACTGAAACTCACAACAGTTCCTCAACATGCTGACCAAGAAGCGCACATTGAATAGTGCTCTTTTCTTTCGCCGTTTTTTTAAAGGTTGTTTGCATCTTGGTAATTTCACGAAATCATTCAAAGCGGTGCATCGAAGATCAGGCACGACGAGCGAGTGTGTTTCCAGGCTTCGGCATCACGATAAGAACGCTCGAATCGTAGACATCGCCACTAGCGCATCGTCACTCAGGATGGTATTTGTGGAATGTATCACACCAAACACGTAGCACTATTGTTGATGTCGCAGGGCATGCCATTTTCATTGAACTCTCGTACACTGTTTGCCGTCGAAATAAAATAACTTCCACACAACAGATTCGATTCAAATTTGGCCAAGACTACCTGCGCATACCGAGCAATCGCAGGAAGGGCACATCTCGATTCTGAAATTTAATGTCAGTGGTCCTTTATGACATTTTAAGTGACTGATACTGATAAGTCACCACATCCGGTTCTGTGGCTGTTATATCCCAGCTGGTCAGCCAATCAGTCTAAATGGAGGGGAGGTAGCTAAAAGAGCGGATGCTGCACACGTTTAGTAGAAACCGGACACTTGATGTACTCCACTCACCTCATCGAGCTTCATACCCAATTCAAAAGACTTGATTTCGTGGCCCGTCTCATTGTCGTAGATACCTACTTTTCCCAAGCATCTCTCATCCATCGGGTTGAATCCGAGAACGCTATACAGCTCTAGCTCATTCTCATAGTCATCGGACAAGAGGCTTTTCTGAAAAAAAAAAAAAAAAACCGTTACCGAGATCAACTCGGGTTGCAGGTTTCTTCGGTGCACTTCCCTCACAACGTTCATTAGGGTAGCTGTTAGGGCTTGTAGGTTTGGCATAATACAGGGTGAAAATGTAAAAATACATTTACAGGCATAATACAGGGTGAAAATGTACATAGTATGTGGTTGCTTGTTTTGAAATAAAATGTTGCTGTAAGTCAGCGCTCGTGCGAATCACGCGTCTTCTCTGCCTTTATCTCATGTGCTTTCACTTTGTAAGAAACGATGGCTTTTCTCAACTTTCAAAAGCTACAACTTTCGATCTTGCACCTTATTTGCAGCACTGCATATAGAATGACTCCTTTTAGAATAAAAAAAAGCCTCACAAAAACTCAAGTGTAGCCGCTACACTGTGATGGCAGTGCTCTGAAACAAGCTTTTCCCTTACAAATGCAAAACGACCTAAATTAGTCTAAACAAGAGAGAATCCATTACTGTAATACCCTGACAAGTGACCCCTGTCAGCCAGTTAAAATAACCGGCAAAGTCGAGAAGGGAGCTTTCCAAAAATAGTGTCAAGAATCACTATGATGAAAGCAAAGATTTCTCTGTCGCTCTCTCACACAAAAAAAAGGAAGAACAGAGTTTTCGTGGGCTTCCTCAAAAGTCTCCTGGCACTCATTCACGGCAGAGCACATTTAAACAAAGACCCCAAAATACACACACAAAAAAAACATAGACAACACAATTAGATAACGGGAAACATGGCTTGGAAGCACCCTGGGCAATGGACATAGATATCGGAGGCCTTACATTTGCTAACTATACGCACAAAAAAAAAATGTCATAGGTCACAGTTTCATACAATAATACCTAGAGAGAAATCTGGCGCTGCGATCGTGTACCCTCATGGGAATTATGGGAAGCACAGGCTTCAGATTGAATCGCGTTAGCCAATGAACTGTCTACGAATGTTTTTCTACAGCTTCAGTTTCGTTCTTCGCGTAGTGGGTAGTGGGGTGGGTGCAAAAGACTGAACCTGCGCCTTTGTTGTTCAAAGAAGCTGAAAACTGCTAGGCCTCTCAATTTACTGCAATGCTGGAGCTGTATAAGCCATGTTTGACAGTTTAAGCAAAGCGTCATCCACTCACCGCTGCGCATAGATGTGGCATCTCATGCTAGTGCAGGGTATTACACCGAGTTCACGTTTGTGGTTAGTGCATCCTTCCAAAACTCGCTGAAATCAACTGCAAAACGACGACGACGCGAAGTAGACGCACTGCCACGCTTTTCTGGCTCAACTTCACAACAAAACAAGGGGTGCGTTGGGGGCAGACTCCTTGAAGAGACGCACCTGGCTTCGCAGCACACGAAACGTTAAGTATTTCTCACTTAATACTGTGCTGTTATTTCCATAAATAGATATTGCATACTTTCAAGGGTAAACAAGAATGTTTGTTTTGAAATGTTGTAAAGAATAATTCATTAAATCTTGATGCCAAATCTGGAACACAATGGCAGGGCAATACATACCTTGGTGGTTAAATTTGTCCAGGTTCCCCTTCTACCGCCTAGTCACATAACCCTTTTGCAATAAAGTTTGTGTACAAAAAAATGAAGCAAGATTCAATTAGACATAACTTCATATTATTTTGTTTTACACTCAGCAAGCAAGCGTCATGAATCTCAAGAATGCGATCCATCCGAAGCAGATCCGAAGCCTGTGCTTCCCATTATTTCCATGGAGGTACAAGCGCCCCTGAAGAGCCCGCGCAGACGCTAGCGCCAGATTCCCCTAAAGGTATTATTGTATGAAACTCTATGTCATAGGTAGAACATTCAAATTGCAAATACAGGTCTTTGAGGCTATGCTTTTATGAATGGGATCCTGAAAATCATCTTGTGTGTCGTGCTCCAAGTTCAGGGTGTGGGGAAGGAAAAGAAAACTCAAATTCTAACAACCAATTTTAGGTGCAGGTGCTTAGAGATCAGGTTCCCAGGCAGGATGACATTGATTTAAGCAGGCTAGGGCTGCTTGGATGTGGTTATCATCAGAGTTGGAAGAAGAATGATCACAGAAGCATGAAAGTGTTGAAATCATAGGGGATGCTTGCTCTTAGTTCTACAGTACGTGAGAAAGACGGGGGGAATTGATACGCGTGGTTTGTCTTGAGCATCTGTTTGTGTGATACAATTCATTAATTGCATTGTTTTTACTGCACCAACACAGTTCCCGCTACATAAAACTGTTACCACCCTAAATACCATTGTCTTAGGGATCATCCAACTTCAAACTACCCTATGATGCTGAGAAGTAAGTGACTCACGAGGCACGTGATTCACGATTGACAAGAATGTGCACTCTAGGCTGTTGTGAATTGTGAATAATTTACAGCACTCATGTAATTAAACGTGATATCCAAACGTTAAAAGGACACCAAAGTGAAATAATGAATCAACTTAAACACCTAAATTTCACTAGCACAAATTTGTTAATAGATATGGAAATGAACGTCACAGTTTCCTTTAAATGGGCACAGACATAAAACAAGACGTGTCCTTTATTCAAATGTTTGGTATCCATAAGCCCGCTGGGCTTATGCATGAGTGGCATTCATCACATTCAAGTTTTATTTCAAGGGAAAACCGTGTACGATATTGGGCATTCAACACCCTACAACATAGACATCACTGTGATGTGTTTGGTAAGGTCAATACTATCGCGGGCGACGATGCGGTAGTAACAATCACGGTGACAACCTGAGTATTCTTATTATGGCACCGACGCTTAGAAGCGCTCTCACTTCCATAGAGCTGGACTCGACTCCTCTTGGAGGACAGAGTCCAGCCCGGTCTTCACTCTCAGTGGTTCTCCTTACTTTTCATGCCTGATCTTGGTAGTGCAGATATGAATGATCTGTGATGTGCGCAGATATGAATGATCTGTCATGCTGCCCATCAGTCCGCGTCTCGGGGAGCCATTGCGCACTGGTGTCATGTTGTTCACAACGTGAAAAAAGTGGGAAGAGTCTTTCATTTAATTACATGTACAGTAGATGCTGGCATGGCCACTATCTATCAGAGTGCAGAAGTGTATAGAGAAGTGCCGTTGCCAACAGATGACACGCAGAGAGGCTTCCTGTGTTAGTTCAATACAAGACTACCACAGCCATAAACAAGGCAAGCCGGGTAGGTTGGGCCATCTAGAAGTGCAAAGGAAAAGCTGCCCCCCCACCCCCTCTCCCCAAGCACAGAATTGTTATTGTAGAAACACAGCACAAAAAGCCTGCTACCATGCTGGTGTACACTCGGGACAGTGGCATAATTCCAAATAGGTTACCTCCTTAAACTTGTCTTCGACTGGAGACTCAGCAAAAAAAAAAAAAAAAACGTGTGTATTTATCATTGTGGTTGTCCAAGGCATCAGAAGGTGCCGATATCATTGTCTGGTAACTCGATATTTCATAAACCCCTTTACGCATACCAAGATGCCACACACTAAAATATAGGAATGCGCGAATATTCGAATTTACAAATAATTTTGTTAATAGTGTTTGCTATTCGAACTCAATTCACACTAAAATTTTACAATTCGAACTCCTAAGACAAATAAATCCACGTGACCTCTTCAAATTTTCAATATGCTTCACCCCATCACAATGTCCCATTGCGGCAAAGCTACCTTCCCGGCTCTGCTACAGCCATAAATGTTTAGACTAAAAAAACAAAGATTCTAACATGCAGATTGTAGGTACGGCAAAGGGAAATGGAGGGTGAGAGGAAGGGGGGGACTCAAATACTGCTGCATTGGAGCCTGAAACTTGGGCAACACTTTGGTTGCACCAAATCATGTACATACATACCATTCAGCGTCTTCATTGCGTCATTCTCAATACGACAACTATAAAACACCACCTTGCCAGCACTTCATCACTAAACAAAAGAAACACTTCTCATGCTTCTATCTCCTAAGAATATGCTCAGAAATCCTCTGCAACATTTTTACAGCAATGTTGTTTTGAAGTATTTGAAAAACATTCAAGAAATGTTCGAGAAAGACAAGGAAAATATTCGATTCGCACTTGCACTTCAACATTCAAATTCACTTCGCACCCAAAATTTTGCTATTCGCACAGCTCTACTAAAATCCTCTAATACAGCTGTTGTGACTTACAAGCTAGCAAGGCCCAAGCATGCATACCCGGGCACATCCTCATCGCTACTCAGAGGGGCGTCAATTTCCGAATTGCTTCTTTGCAAAGCATCAATGCAAAAATGATGCACGACGTCACAAATCGAAGAGATTCCCGGTACCAGTCTCCAAACACTGTCAACGGCTACAACAGCGATGCTGGTAACAATGACACAACTGCACGTACGCAGCTAGCAGATGAAATTACACCTGAACCTCACATCACTTCTTTCTGTGGCCACATTATCAGTTGGTGTGCCATTGTCAGGTGACCCCAAGGAGCACAGCCAGTTCTAGATATCGGTGGGCACTCCACACATTTTGATCATGCTCAATGCTGGTCTATTATTCAGTATAAGAAATAATTATTCGTTAGTTATTTGTTAGATAGTCATTGCGAATCGCTACTAGTGCTCGAACTTCTTGTGGATGCAAGAATATTGACATGCATGAATGTGATGTCATTGCTCCCTTGAATTTCGTGCCGAAATCTGGGCACAGTAGTGCCAGAGTAACCCTCACCAATTATATTTTTATGTTTTCGACACATTAGGTGAAAAAGCTTATCTGACAAATTCGTCCATCATGACTATGGCCCCCTTTGAGCTCAATTTACTCAATTTTTACTGATTGAGCACTATGTAGGCCTTAGTAATGAAAGTGTTAAAATCGATGACTCCAAAGTGAATTCGTGTGGGAAACTCAAGATGCATCACCTCCTTGTACCATCTTTTAGTGTGTCTTCTGCCTTATTAAATTCCTGCTTGGTGGCAGAACCTTGATTCTTAGGTGGTTAAAGGTTATGTTACCAAAATGCATAAAAATGATTTTTCGATGTACTGCCCCCTTAATTAAGTATTACAACAACACATGTGCTGTTGCACAAGATAGCCGTGCCACATCACTCCGATGAATCTGGTCACCAAGGATGGTGCAGACACTTACACAAGCGTGTACTAGCCGATATGACAATTCAATGCGAAATAAAGAGGGTCACAAACAACAGCGTATGCCTTACTTAGACCTAGATCAATGCATTTCATCGTACAGTGGTTATTGCATATCTCTTTTTATCATGGTGGAATGAACCATGCACAACTTCCAAATTTTTATTACAATGATAATAGATTTACTTTTTGTGCACTTCACCCTGGTTGCCCAGTTAGTCCAGCAGGGTTTCATCCCCTCTCCCCTTCAGACCAAAATGGGAAGTGATGCCTCTGTTTGATTCTGTCCTATGACATTTCACCAATCTTCTTGGCAGGAGTTTTTCTCTACAATAAGAAGAGACAATTTTTTATGGATGTCACTTTCCCTTAATTCTCACCTCTGCACACTGAGTGCTGTGCATGTCGTAGAGGGTCTTGCACTTTCGTCGCGGTGGCTTGTTGTCGTTTGTCTCTTCGCAAGTACGGGTTGGCGGCTCACGAAAGGTAATCTCAAAGCACTCCTTCAGAGATGGCTTGTTCTTGCTGTTTGTAATTAATTTAAAGATCCTGAAAAAAATACATATTTTTTTAAAAAGTGGACACACAACAGGTGAAGAAGTATCCCAGTTACCTTAAATATTATTACACCCCTGTACACGCAAGTTAGGAAAACGACTACACAGTAAAAGGAAATACAAAGTCATTTTCACTCCCCCTAAAACGTCATTTATCAGTATATATCAGTGAATTACATTCCACCTTTTCCTTTCAAGTGACTTAAATTAAGAGATCCATTTGAGGCAGATCACTGAAGTGATGGCTAATTACAATGCAAGTTCAAATAATTTAAGTGAGGTATTTACTAAAACTCAATGTACACTGATATGCAAATTAGAAAACAAATCTTGGTTTTTTGTGCGACAGTAGAAGCCACAAATTTCATTTCAAGTTCTAAATTTGGCACCCAGACCATAACATCGCTACGTTAATGCAAACAATGACAAATCTCTTTCATCCCTCCCTCCCAGATGAAACTGATGATAGGCTGTGTGTTTTCTAGCAAGGTCTCATGATGTCCTTGTTATTTGCCTGGCACACATTCTTACAGGATGCACAACTCACAACGTCAAAAGGAGTCATATGCTTCATCGTAATAAGGGCTGCAGTGCGAGCACGAAGCTGTTGTCCTCTTTGCCTTCCGTGCCTCGCCTTTCGTCTGTTTCTTCTAGCAACTTCAAACCAACTAGCCCAAATAGCCATTCTTCTCGAGTCATATGCTGGATGTTTGGCAACGCCTCGATTCCCAGAAACTAAGTTTAAAGGAACTCTATTTTTTAGTATTGAAGTTTGGGCGAGTTGGTATTGCATTTCTAAACTTTTTTAAAGCTAAATAAGGTGTAGAAAGAAACTGTCAAGGGGTCGTAAAATGGTTGCAGCTTAGCTCAGCTAGGCCCGGTTATGCATGCGAAAGCTTGTTAAGCTTGGGCAACAAATTTGGCTAGGTGAACATTCTGAACTGTGAGCACTCAATACCGTCATTTTTGACAGCTTCGAAAACGAGGTGTTTATTGCCACTTCTAAAGCTCATTGCTGCTGTCTTTCTGCATTTTTCTCTTGAACTGTAAGCACTCAATGCCGTCATTTTCGTCAGCTTCGAAAGCGAGGCGTCTATTGCCACTTACAAAGCTCGTTGCTGCTGTCTTTCTGCATCTTTCTCTTGACATCTTGTCAATTTGTCCGCTCAAAGGGTGAAACTGGAGGTGACTTGATGAGGACATGAACAACATAGGGCATTTCTCACTGTGGTCAATGCAATGGCGCGTTTTATGAGCTTGGAGTGATGGGATGAAAACGGCAGAAGGTCCTTCTTTGATCGTGGGGTATAAATGCAGCAGGTGTGCCTGTCGTCCAGGTGGATAGCGAGGTCGAGGAAGCGTAGTTTTTTTCCTTCTTCCTTGGTGAAGGACAGTCCAAGGAAGTTTCAAGAGAAGCGGCGATAAATCTGGTTTGCCGTCATACCGGCTTCGTCGGGTTTCGTGTGAAATAAAACAAGGTAGTCGTCGACAAAACGAGAAATCTTCACCCATTGGATCGTCGTTAGGCTCTCCTCCAAGCATCTGTCGAACTTTGCCAAGATCAAGTCGCTTAAGATTGGGGCGATGCAAGACCCTATGCATATGTCCTCTTTTCGCACATAATATTGCTCTTCTTTTACGACCGTGTTCCTGAGGTAAAAGAATAAAAGTTCTAAACACCTGGAAACACTTGTTCTCAGCTCCAGCTCATGTTGCAGCTGTGACGTCCCCACTACGCCACCGATCGCCAAAGAGAGGGAAGAGCCCTCAACCCCCTTTTTATCCGGTTCCCTCTTGGCTACGTGTCTAAATCACTTTCCACATACAGGGATTCGTGCTGGGGCCGGGAAGCAAGAGACGTCACGATCTTTTCTTAATCATGGACGCATTTAATTCAACAGCAAGTGCAAATGGCGTACACACACATTGTTCGTGAACGACATCTCTATTACACGAAATTGTAACACATCAGCAAATACTCCCGACGCGCGAAACAGGATACATAAGCGAAGTAACGGTGACAATACAAGGGTGCCTCAATACAGAGTAAACACACGACGACACAAAAGATAAAGTCATAAATTAATAAAACCGCGCAATGTCTCAATATGCCGCATCCCTTCCCGCAAAGCTCGTTTAAGTAAAGGAGGTGAAGTTCGTCTCACTGAAAGTCCGTGTAGTCGGGGCCTTGGAGTTGGCTGCTCGAGTCGGGGCCGAAGGTTGGTTCCTGGCATCGAGGTCTGATCTGTCCAATTGGTCAGTGTCTTCATCGTCTTCGTCATCGTCACCTACGTCGTGCCTCTCAGTGATTTCCATCTTAGCCCTCTTTCGTAACGCTCCATTCACTCGCCTCCAATCCCTAACTTTCATTCCTCATCGTACCGTCCTTGCCTCTATACCATCTCGAGCTCATGGCATCGTATATCTCTGACTCCCTTGTATCGTCTCGTAGCCCCTTTTGTCGCCGTCCACTTCTTTTTCTCCCCTGGGAATGACTCTCCTCGCCTCTCCCCTTCCTTGACACGTGGCCATTTTTCTCGGGTTCCGACTCCGCCCTACCAGGGCACCAAACCAATCGCCGCCATCCACGCGGCATATCCTCTCCTCAGTAGGAGTGTATCATCTTCGGCGGCCGCCCGCGCGGCCCACACCAGCAGAAAACCCTATCCCAAACAAAGCCGAGCAAGCAACAATGCACAAACTCAAGCCTCAGAGAGAGAGAGATGGGCGAGCCGTCCCAAGACACCCCAACCACGGGCGAACGATGGTCCCGACGCCTCCGGTACCCGATGAGCCGACGTCCAGACCAAGTCTCCACGTCTTCATGCAGCTCGGTGTCTCCCGCAAAATTCTCCGCAGCCGCCGCCTCCCTGTCATTCATTGCCGCGGGTGGCCATCCACGCAGAACGCAGCAATGAGCCCTGGAGCCACGGAGGCCGACGAAAAGTCAGGTCGGACTCTGCACAGGCGCTGTGACAGGGTCGCATTCCCCGAACCAACAAAAGGTGCTCTGCTGCTCCCCCATGCCACAAATGTGAAAGGTACGCGCGTATTACCTCCACCGTACACTGTCACACTGTCTGTAGACGACAAGGCGCCGCCCGCCGGTCCTCGTGTTTGCGCGGGGGGGGGGGGGGGGGGCGAAAACAGTAGAAATAATCCTTCCAGGTACTCCACTCAGGAATGCCCATTCGTTACACCGAAGGTTTTCTTTTCCTTTTTTTATGCGTGGGCTTAAGAAACGAGCGAAAACATCCTGAAAGGACCGGGGTTCAGTCCGTGTTTGCGGCGGCGTCACAATCCCTTCATCTTGCAGAAGAATTTTCCCAGCGGGGAAATTCAAACACGAGAAATGCGAGCGCATAGCGCTTTCCAGTTGCGCAGCGAAATCGAGACATTGCGGTAGTCTTAGGAATACGGTATGCGAACACAGCACACTGGTGATTCAGCCCTGGCGGCAGCGCGTTGCTGAGAGAAACCAATCTGTGATTGTCGCTGAATATTCACCCACCACGAAGCAGTTTGTTTCCGTATTTCTACCGCGCACAACAGACATGAAACCTTCAGAATCACTGCAGAAACTCGTGGATGACGCGTGGACAAAACGCACACTGGTCACAGCTGCTCGTCGGATGGTTTGGCATGCAACGTTCAGTCATGTGTGCGGAAGGTTCACTACAATGCGAGCACATCACACACTTCGCCTGCACTGTCCACTCTCGGCACAACCGAACAGAGGATACACAGATTTCAATACGCTTTCATTCCACACATGCAGAAAATTTTAAGACCTTCTCGAACATTTCAAACCAAACGAAAAGCGGGATGGCGGGAGAACATAGGTCATACAGGCAGCAATACTGAATTACCCTCGCGTACCATCTCCTGCCTGGCCTCATTTCAAAACACAATCAACAAAATAAAACAAGTGTACAAGCCAAAGCAAAACAAAAAAAAACTTAAACTTCGACAGAAGGTCTTTAAAGTAACATGCACAAAGACCGAGTAGAAATTATAGAACATAAAATGGCATACAACATTGCGGACTCTTACGACCCTAGCCGATCCCCTACGCTCAGCGTCTACCTGTATGCAGACTTCTTCCCCAACTCAGAGTCCCGGACCCTCGTTGGATGGTCCGAACTTCTACCTACTCAACTCAGTCGCGGAGTGGGGCATATGCGAAGCTATCTTATAAGACCACCGCTGCGTATGCCGGGGTTCGGTGCGGTGTACATCGAGTGTGCTGCAGTTCCTCTCTGGCCCCACAAAAACTACCCCGTTGCGATCTAGGCATTCCTAAATCTCATCCACTCTCTCTAACGTTCAGTCTACCACCGTGTCGACCAAGACTCCGACAACTGCATCCTCAGAAAACCCATTCTCATCCAACTCCATATCTGCTACTCCTACTGGTAATGCCTCATCGTCTCGTGGGACCTTCGAGGTAGAAACCGCAGCTAAACCGTCTGTATCCACTCTAGCAACCTCGACAACTTTTGTTTCACCCAGTGGCACCGGCGTGCGAGCGTTCCCCCCAAACACACACTCGCTCAATGGTGGAACATCCTCCTCGATCACGGAAATTACATTAACCACTTCCGCACACGGTGAACCGCGACTCATTTTTATGGAGTTTGTTTCCTCGGGAATATTTACGACCGTGATTGACCTCTGCACGTCAACGTCATGAGAAGGAGTTGCGTCTAGGTTTCCCGATTCGAATTTTCCCGCCCTCTTCTTGCCTTTGTGAACGCGGCTGCCAACCGTGGAATTCCACTTTCGTCGCCAGTATCGGTGGCATTCTCGCCAAAAGTGACCAAACCTGCCACAGTTATAGCACCCGCCGGGATAACGGAGTTGCCTCGGGGATTCCTGCCAATTTTGTTTCACCTTTTTGCGTACTACCAAGCTCTCCACAATTTTTTCGAGGCGGTCAAGGCGGCTATGCATCTCATGAATATCCGTGTTCTCTTCTTCGTATCAAAAGGGTAACATATGGCTCCACGACACTTTCTCATTCTGTTCCTCTTTGACCGCTATGGCAATGGCCTCGTCAAATGTTTTTGGATCCCGAGAGAGAACAAATCTGCGGACCGGATCCCTCAGGGCTAATAAAAATTGCGAGAGTAATTGTTCGGCTAGAATTTCGCGGCGCAGTGAAGCTTTCATCGGATCCTGACTATCGGAGCTCGCCAGGGTGGCGGTCCCGGGGATGCGCAAGCGACTTGCAAATGACCTCACCTCCTCATCTGCCTTCTGCCTCGCGTTTAAAAACCGTTCCGTTTTAAAGATAAGTGGCTCCGTATCAAACCTCTTGGGGGCCAAATATTTGAACACAGAAAAAGTTGAAGCAGCAGCGATGCCACCATCCCACCACGCAAAATCGTGTGCTGCGCCTACCATCTTACATCGTGCTATGCAGACCAGCTCACTATCCCGCCATCCACCCAAGCGACCAACCTGCTCCAAAATTTTAAAGAATACCCCAACATCCGGACCCCTATCACCTCCCGTAAACGACGGAACCATGTCCGCTAACATTAACGCACTCATTTCTAGTGGGTCGTCTCTGTCGGTCATCTTGGTAGCCTGCTCGTTCATTTTGCCGCCTCTCCTTCCCTAGTACGAGGGTTAAATCTCGCACCGTTGCCCCAGCAGTAATCCCACCGCTGCCACCACTTGAGACGTCCCCACTACGCCACCGATCGCCAAAGAGAGGGAAGAGCCCTCAACCCCCTTTTTATCCGGTTCCCTCTTGGCTACGTGTCTCAATCACTTTCCACATACAGGGATTCGTGCTTGGGCCGGGAAGCAAGAGACGTCACGATCTTTTCTTAATCATGGACGCACTTAATTAAACAGCAAGTGCAAATGGCGTACACACACATTGTTCGTGAACATCTCTATTACACGAAATCGTAACACATCAGCAAATACTCGCGATGCGCGAAACAGGATACATAAGCGAAGTAACGGTGACAATACAAGGGTGCCTCAACACAGAGTAAACACACGACGACACAAATGATAAAGTCATAAATTAATAAAACCGCGCAATGTCTCAATATGCCGCATCCCTTCCCACAAAGCTTGTTTAAGTAAGGGAGGTGAAGTTCGTCTCACTGAAAGTCCATGTAGTCGGGGCCTCGGAGTTGGCTGCTCGAGTCGGGGCCGAAGATTGGTTCTTGGCGTCGAGGTCTGATCTGTCCAATTCGTCAGCGTCTTCATCGTCTTCGCCTACGTCGTGCCTCTCAGTGATTTCCATCTTAGCCCTCTTTCGTAACGCTCCATTCACTCGCCTCCTATCCCTAACTTTGATTCCTCATCGTACCGCCCTTGCCGCTATACCATCTCGAGCTCATCGCATATTTTTTTTGCACTTGCTGTTGAATTAAATGCGTCCATGATTAAAAAAAGATCGTGACGTCTCTTGCTTCCCGGCCCCAGCACGAATCCCTGTATGTGGAAAGTGATTGAGACACGTAGCCAAGAGGGAACCGGATAAAAAGGGAGTTGAGGGCTCTTCCCTCTCTTTGGCGATCGGTGGCGTAGTGGGGACGTCACAAGGCTCTGATCTGTCCCCTTCCGTCAGCGTCTTCATCGTCTATGTCATCGTCGCCTACGTCGTGCCTCTCAGTGATTTCCATCTTAGCCCTCTTTCGTAACGCTCCATTCACTCGCCTCCTATCCCTAACTTTCATTCCTCATCGTACCGTCCTTGCCTCTCTACCATCTCGAGCTCCGCATTGTATATCTCCGACTCCCCTGTATCGTCTCATAGTCCCTTTTTGTCGCCGTCCACTTCTTTTTGTCCCCTGGAAATGACTCTCCTCGCCTCTCCCCTTCCTTGACACGTGGCCACTTTTCTCGGGTTCCGACTCCGCCCTACCAGGACACCAAGCCAATCGCCACAATCCACGTGGCATATTCTCTCCTCAGTCGAAGTATATCATCTTCGGCGGCCGCCCCCGCAGCCCACACCAGCAGAAAACCCTCTCCCAAACAAAGCCGAGCAAGCAACAATGCACAAACCCAAGCCTCAGAGAGAGAGATGGGCGAGCCGTCCCAAGACACCCAAACAACGGACGAACGATGGTCCCGATGCCTCTGGTACCCGATGGGCCGACGTCCAGACCAAGCCTCAACGTCTCCATGCAGCTCGGTGTCTCCTGCGAAATTCTCCGCAGCCGCCGCCTCCCCGTCATTCAACGCCGCGGGTGGCCATCCGCGCAGAACGCAGCAATGAGCCCTGGAGCCCCGGAGGCCGACGAAAAGTCAGGTCGGACTCTGCACAGGCAGCTGTGACAGGGTCGCATTACCCAAACCAACAAAAGGTGCTCTGCTGCTCCCCCATGCCACAAATGTGAAGGGTGCGCGACGTATTACCTCCACCATACACTGTCAGACTGTCTGTAGACGACAAGGCGCCGCCCGGTGCTCGTGTTCGCGTTTGGGCGGGGGGGGCGAGAACAGTAGAAATAATCCTTCCAGGTACTCCACTCGGGAATGCCCATTCGTTACACCGAAGGTTTTCTTTTCCTGTTTTTATGCGTGGGTTTAAGAAACGAGCGAAAACATCCTGAAAGGACTGGGGTTCAGTCCGTGTTTGCGGGGACGTCACACACAGCAGATGCCACTATACATTTTTTGATTGTCGTGTACCCCTTACCTTCGCATCCCCTGCTACCCTCTGACACTGTAAACATTCAAAAAAAAATCTTCAACACATCCCGTGAGCTTTCACATATCTCTGTGGTCATGACCTTCCAAGAGGACTCACCCACCAACGGGACATATTGCTCTAAAGAGTTCACAGTTTAAACTGAAGGCTGGACTGATTGATTGGTATGTGGGGTTTAACGTCACAAAACCAGCATATGATTATGAGAGACGCCGTAGTGGAGGGCTTCGAAAATTTCGACCACCTGGGGTTCTTTAACGTGCACCTAAATCTGAGTACACGGGCCAACAACATTTCTGCCTCCATCGGAAATGCAGCCGCCAAAGCCGGGATTTGATCCCGCGACCTGCGGGTCAGCAGCCGAGTACCTTAGCCACTAGACTACCGTGGCGGGGCATTATTGAAACGGTAAAACTAGATCATCATTCATAACATTTTAAAACTGACACCACCCGTTTGAGTGGCTGCCCTTGTGAAGAGATGTTGTCCTTGGAAGCTGTGAACAAAATCCACTATAAGGAAGAAAGCCAAATAAGTTACGAAGCATGTTTAACATGAGAAACCATGACTAGCAAGTAGCCTTTTTCTGAGGCAATATTCTCCACTAAAGTCTGGCCACTTAAACAAAGCTCAAGGGGCCCTGCAGCACATTTAGGGCACGATCAGAAAGGGCTGACTGTCGGTAATCAAGGCCCCCGAGAACACACGAGATAGACTATAGTGCAGCGCACAGCCTGTAATTTGCAATTAAATTTCAGATAGCCATAAATGACTCACTCCACTCTTGAAAAATGATGCCAAATACACAAAACGACTGCGTCATACACCCAAAGTCCAAGGCTACTAGCTGGCTTGAGCTGCACATTTACCATAGCCATTGCAAGGTGCCATGATGTCTCTGCGCGTGTGCACGCTCTGTTACATTCGAAGTAAGCTGTTTTTTGAAGAAAAAAGAAGTGCTAAAGGTCATGATGCACATTGACAACAAACGAATGAAGATTCTTGCCCTCCCCTTCCCCCTCGCCTCCAGAGTAGTTTGCAGTATGCTCACTGGTAAGAAAAGAGAGAGAAACCGCTTAAACCACTCGATAAAGCTGTGTAACTCTACTTGTACTTGACAAATTCTAAAGATTTTATGGCAGTCAATTCGTGAGGCAATGAAGTATCCTAATGAATAATTCAATAATTACTCGAAAAATTTCGCAGGGCCCTTTCAAAGCCCCCTGCCTACAGCACTGAGGTACAAAGTCGAGCGCTTTGGCCTTACTTGATGAAATGTGAAGAGTTGTAGACTATCTTTCCAGAGTCGTCAGGATGAAACGCGATGGAGTCTGGCTCTGTGCTTGAATTGGGAAAGTCCAGGAGTCCATTCTCAGCCAGCTCATCAGTTTCCACTGATTTTACCTGGTGGTGAGCACCAATAACAATCACTCTGAAGGCTTCCAAACATTAGTCCTCTTCAGTATATGTAGCGTACACGCTCGATCCCATTCCCCTCACCTGAAAGACGCCTTCTCTCGATTGGAGGGCTGCAGATGTAATGCCAAGGGAAGCACCCAAAGTGTAGCATGAACTCCGAGCACTTTACCTCGAAAAGAACAGGTGGAGGTTCTGCAATGGGTAAGACAAGAATTGTTAGATGATGGCATAAGCTAAGCTTTAAAAGAATAATAATAAATAGACCCTTGTTATGTGACACCCTAATATAACGTGCAGGCTGTTGAGAGGCTCCACAATAATTTTGACAACTTGCTGATATTTTATAGCAAAACATTCGCCAATGTGGTGAGTGCATTAGCGACGAGCCATCATCTCCCCTGCAAGGGCCAGCTCAGCCATGGACAATGGTGCAACACTGAAATATGAGGAAGTGCTAATTTGGCTGTTGCTTAACGCTTTCATTATCGAGGGTTTTTTGCAATGCTGCACACTCCACATCGGGTTTTATTTTCTCTCCTTCTTTTTTTTTATTACACGTTATACAAAAATTTCATGCTAGTAATCTAGTAGTATAGAAGAATATTTGATCAAAACAAAAATAGGTATTCATTATAATCAATACATTTATTCATGAATTATTTAAGTATAATAAATTATAATTACTCATTTCAGAGCCACTGAGACTAATTGGTCATCCTATTCGGCAACGAATTAGTCAAGAGCTCCTGAATTTCTTGTTCTGTAAAATAGAGCATGCACATAGAATGTGACTCGCCATGACAGCTCTGCTGAGACGCTGGCAAAGACACACGAGCCTATGCTGATGTCATGCAGTACCTTTGTAGTCAAAAATTTCAACACAAGTTATACTTGCTAATATTGAAACGCACAGGAGCAACTCTGGTGAACACAATTTCTTAGATGTCAAGACTAGGCTTGCATGAATATTCAAATGCTTTGAACATTGGAACAAATATTCCAATATTAGAATTAGCTTTGAACTGAATATAAGTTATTCAAAATTTTGACGTATTCGAAAGGAACGAATAGATCTAATTAATCCATGTGTAGCCTTCCGTAAATCTGGTTTCACTGCAGTGAAGACATGCTAAGCCGGAAAAGAATCTGTTAAATATATATCAATTCGCATGTAACCCCCCTGTAAAGGTGATTTCACTGCAGTAAATTAGTGTTAACCGCAACAACATTTATCCAGGAAATATCAATGCTGTCACGAAACTTCACTTCGAGGTTAAATGAAAATATGACACTCACAATTTTTTTTAAGCTTACAAGCTTGTTATTCTGACTTATTGGCTCTAAGTGTTGGAAATTTTCAAATGTTACATATTTTACATGTTATCACTTGCGTTCCATAAAAAGTCAAATTCTGCTACTATTCAAAGTTGTTTCCAGTTCCCTTAATGCAAAAAAATTTAATTTGCATAAGCCTTGTTTCAATTTTCCTTCAAATATTGTGCAGGTCAGTTATAACATGACAAATATGCCTTTTTTTTTTTATAATATACCTACTATTCAAATTCAATTCAAAATTATGGACGGAAATCCCTATTCGCTTGGAATTCACTTTGAACACAAAATTCACTATTCGCACAAGTCTAAGCAGGACACACACACGGTAGTTCTCTCCATAGACAGCGGGACACACCCGCATTATTTTCGTTTAACAAGAGTTGTCTCACAAGTGGCAGGGAGTGAGTGAAAGAGGCAACATGAGTACCTATACTAGGGATGGGCAGGACTTGTGCATGCGTCACCCGAATCGCCGCGGGATCGGCAGTGAAATGGTTAATAACTGCATGCCACACATTATTTAACAGGGCTGTCTTAACTCTGACCTCGGCTGTAGACACAATCACGGCATAACTATCAACATGCCCGAACTTTTTTAAAGGGGCCCTGCAACACTTTTTGAGCATGGTCGGAAAACGTTGCCAATGAGCAGTGCTATGAGAACGCGCGAGCCAAATATTATACAGCAGCACACGGCCTGGAACTTACAATAAATTCTCATAGCCAGCTAAATATTGCTTGCTCTTCTTGCGACAAATGATACTACATACTAAAATATCAGGGCGTAACAGGCCCAAGCTTCACACCATTGGCTGATTTGATGAGGCCACCACAGAAGTTGATGAGGCCACCACAGGAGGGCAGTAACTTGTCTACAAGTGTGCGCACAATCTTACTGAAAAGCCGCGTGTTTCAAGAAGAAAGAAAAAGAGAAAAAGTGCTTAAGGTCATGAAGCTCACGTGATGTGCCTTTTTTCCTTGTTTCATCCCTCCCTGCTTAGCTTCCAGCACTTTCGTCGGGACGAGAGAAGGGAAAAGCAATCGCAGTATGACAGATCTTTGTAGCTCTGCTTGTACAGGACGGATTCGAAAAAGCTTTGCGGCAATCAATTCGTGAAATATTTGGGGGTGCTAACAACCCCTGTAAAGTAGTTTGCGCCTCATAGCGCACGTGTTTAGCACATAGGCCTCATTTAGGGTTCACAACTATCGAGCGGTAGGTGGCGTTATGCTCGCGAGCATTGATCACCATCGTTTATCACCATCATCATCTTTAGCACGGTAGCGCCAGAAGGGACACTTGGCGGCGTAGCTGGGTGGCTGGCACATGGGAGATGAGCGGTCCTCTTTGGCGTGTAGTGGTTTGTGTGAACGGTTGTCTCCCACGGTGCGTTTATAGGTGGACGGCACTGCAGGTTGTCTGCCGTGAGCCCTCATGGCGGGTTGAGCGTTGGCCACGCCGCTTTCATGCTAGCTTCTGTTTGTTCTTATGTTTGAGTGAATTGGAAAATTGTGTAAGGTTGTTTTAGCATGTTGAGTGGTGTATTTTTATTTGGCTGACAATATCGTCGATGCAAAAGTAGTTAAAAATGGTGTTTTGTGTGGTTCCGTCTGCGTCTCTGACTTCGTTCGTTCCGAGAGCGGCTTTTATTCAAGACCCCACAGGTAATGTGCCCCTTTACTGAATACATTCCATGGTTCCTTGAAAAAAAGTGTTGCAGGAACCCCTTTAAGGGCACTTACTCGACAGCAGAGAGAACACAGCTTGTTCTTCTAACACAAAATTCACTGCGCTTTATATCCAGAGGCATGCTGCATATCTTAAATAGCTTGAACACACTTTTGGAGTGTACATAAAAATTTTTAGTGGACACACCTGTGAGCTTGCAGTTCAAAGGTAGGCCAGCAGGATAAGTTCCCACTTTAGCTCCATCCAGCGCTAAGCAAGGCTCATAGAGCTTAGCCGGAAACATGCATGACTGGATGGAAAATTTTTTCGTAAAGTGCCATCAGACTAATACCATCATCCTTCTAATGTTTCAAGCGTATATTATCTTGTGACATGCACTAATCAATGCACAAAGCCACCATACTTTGAATCAAAGAAAAGCGTAATGGGGAGATAAACATTTGCTTGTTTGAACTGATTACAGAAAGGGCTAATTTAGGATATAAAACTATGTAAAGCTTGAGGTTGCACGCTAACGCTTTTTCCAGCCTAGCACTATCACCTACCAGCCTCCTGGTTAGTTTCTCATAACCCAGGAAATCATTATTGAGGACGAAACTGATCCCAGGTTTGGTTCCTCAAATGGACAAAAGCCACACGTGCCAACCAGAGGAAGCACTCTTTCTTTCTCTTCGTATTTACCACAGTCCGAATTTCAACGTGAACAACCAAATATTCTGAATTCTTAAGTCATTTGGAAAATTTGTTAATATGAGGCATTTTATTCTCAGCATCAAATTACCCTGTGATGCACAGTTTTTTTCTTTTTGGGTCACTCAAGGTTATTGATGCCCTAGTTTGATATGAGGTTGTTACCATTTGATTGACATTGGCTTAGAAATCATTTTATTAACACTTTCTTCACAAATGTCAGGCTGCTGAATGCATTAGAAGCAATTTAACAAAAAATGTGTGCACATTCTTAACTCAAAGCCAATGCATAGACTGCAAATATCAATTCACCTCTACCCTCTACTAAAGTGCGAGAAACAGAGCTATGAGCTATAAAACAGGGGCATAGCCGAAACTTTTTGCCTGGAAGGGGGGGAGGGGGGGGGGCAAAAATACTTTATGTTGGTTCCTGTGTACATTTGTAATTTTTCTGGGGGGGTCCTGAACCCCCCCACTCTTGACTATGCCACTGCTGTGAAACATGGTGAAAAACCACACTTAAAGACTTTTATAATGCACATAGTAGACTATAACTACATATGTAGCTATCAACAAACGTCTAATCAAGTTTAAAACAAACAAATAATTTTCATAGACGGTGCTTTTAGTTGGCAGACTATGAACCAATTAAGCATAGTATTTGTAATTGAGGCTTTTCAAGCAAATTTCCTGATGATTGAGTTCAGCGTACGGTCAGAAATAAAACTTAAAATCAGATGCATAATGGTTTGACACGCCATAAATGAAACAGACCATAATAAGTAAGCTGTGAGAATGTTGCTTACACCTGTTCAAGTTCCGTTTCAACGGTCAAATAGATCCTGTTTAAAGAATGTCAACTCATCAAGAGCACTTCAATATATCGAACAATGTAAACCCATAAGTGCAATCATTAAAATTCAATTGAAAACCGCTAGAAAGTGAAACAGACAGGAATCGTATCTTGCACATGTCATGGTACCCACTGCATAAATTTCAGATCAATACTGTTGATGACCAGACGACAGTAGCTACATCAAGTATGCAGCCAAAGGTTTCTTCCCATCTTTCTCCGTTGAAAAAGCTAAATCTGTCAACTGTGGGATAAATATAGCATAAAAGGAAGAGAGGCAATGCCTTTCTATGTAAACATTGCACTGTAAAGATAAAAACAAGAGACAACGCCCTTGCTGCGAGCAGGCTGTTCTTATTCTGACTTCGTCTTTTTCTGCTCCGCTAGCCGATGATGCACCCCTTCCTGAGCATCAGTATGTTTTCGTTTGTAAATTGATGTGCATAACATAAATAATTGTGCCAACTTACCCTTCATTGTGGCATATAATTTATACCCTCAGTCTCATATAGCATGGTTTAAAACTCATCCTTAGTTTACAACTAGTTTGCTTGTTTTTTGTTACAACAAAAAAAATACTATATTCAAAAAGAAGGTGATGTGCTCCATACACATTAAGGTCTACAGTATTTTATTATATCAAGTGCTGTATGCATGAATATGAAACCCACACAAATATAGCTTTTGGAGCTTTTAAAGAGGCCCTGTAACACTTTTCTAAGTAGCCATGAAATGGATTCACTAAAGGAGATTATTGCCTCACGAATTCACCGCCGCAAACATTTTCAGAATATGCCCAGTACGAGTTAAGTGGCAAAGATTAGTTGCACGCTGCCATTGCATTCTCTCTTCTCTCGTCCTGATAAAAGCACTGGAAGCTAAGCAGGAAGGGTGGCATGGAGAAAGAAAATATGTCATGCGCGTCTCATGACATTGAGCCCTTTTTCTTTTTTTTTTTCTTCAAATGCACAGTTTTTAAAGCCAGATCGCATGCGCGCACAGGTGGACAAGTCATGGCCTTTCACATAGGCGGCCCCTGTAATGACCGAGTGCGCCATGCTCAAATCGGCTAATGGCTGACACTACGCCTGAGACATAGTGATTTTGAGAGAAGAGAAAGCGATTTTTAGAATTGATTGTAAATTCCAGGCCATTCAGGCATGTTCTTGGGAGCCTAAACTATCGATGAACAGCGTTTTTGACCATGCTCAAAAAGTGTTACAGAGGCCCTTTAATAAAAAGAAGAGCCTAATCTGAAAACTAGACTTCGTGCCATGCATTTGCAATGCAATATTTTCCGGTACATGAGATTTCACCATGAAACACACTACATATAGCATTGGCTAACTCCAGAATGAATCTAAGCACAAGTCACAAACACATAAACATGGAAAAGTGGAACCCACCTCTTCAAGAATGCTCCTGAAGTTGTACAACCTTACAGTCCCAGACAAGGTGCTGCCTGTACCGACAATAAGGAGGCCCTCTGAAACGTTGGCGTGGTTGCATTCTTTCCCAAAGATCTGCAAGACAATGTTAAAAAATGGCAAGCATTTCAAATACACAACTGCCTAGTGTGATAAATGGTACAGATACACCCTAAAGCACGGAAGAAATTAAACTTACAGCTCTGTCAATTTCCAGCACGCCTTTGAACTGAAGAGGAAACATGTTAAACACTGCTATTGTGATCAGAACTCTTGGTTTGCTCCTTGCTGCCTAGATAACGAAAAGAAATACGACGGTTATTGCTACATTACTAGACACAAAAAGCAAGCACATGGCGCCCGTGTACAAGGCTGACATAAATTGAGAAATAGAACTTGCACGAAATAAAAAACAATTTTTTTCAAATTAGTAAAATACTCTTTCACAATGCTAATCACACCACTTGCCACAAGAAAACGCTTCATAAGCAAGAAAACGTGCAAAGTGAAAATGCAGGTGGCAACTCCACCTTGAAAACCGTGCACCAATCTTGTGAAGTCATAGATTTTTGACTATGTCTGCAGTATCCTGCGTAGTTTCCAATTAGCGAAAATGAAGTACACTAACCTCTGAGGACTCCATAAACTTAACGCCAACTTTTGGGAAATATCTCAAATGCAATGTGGCCAAAACACGACAATTGCTATTTGAAATCTGTGACACCATGAGCAGCAAGAAGTTCAGCAAGATTTCAGGAAGAAATTTTAAAATGAAATGGTCACCCTGATTTTATCCTCTAACTTGTACGAAGTACTGGAATCGGACGGTGTACCGTCTTCACAGCAAACCAATGGGAGAGCAGTGACCACTTTTGCAATGACGCCACAATCAAATGGTGTGCCCAGCGCGCGTGATTTCAATTTGCATTGCGGACTTTTGTGCAGTTTCTGAGTAAAATTGTCACAACACGTGATTGAAATTTGAAGTATTTGCAAGATTTAAACGCATCCAACACATGTGGGTGCATTAATGAGATAAATAATGCTGCTTTTGCGCAGTCGGAGCTCACGCGATTCCTATTGCAGAACAGAGACCCAGATCGTATTTTTGCTTACTGTTTTGATGTAAAAGCAGAGAAAAGCACATCACCATTCATTTGATCCACATGCACCCCTGTCTAGCTATTACACTAACCTGAAGTCAGGCAATGAAACAAATGAGGAAGCCCTGAAGGCTAACGTTGTGATCGGGTCAGTTTCACGACCACCACTTACGTGCACGAGCCAGGAGAGTAAGTAGTCGTAATGTTTAAAAAATGAGAACGCTCAATGACAAATACTGCTCTGCTTCTTTATACATTTTACTCATCAAAGGGACACCGAAGTCCAGGAACGTAACTATAATTTGTCCACAAAGTATTCATGATGATGGATATAGTTGATGTGAGTAAACCCCTGAATTTCTGTTGGTCTGCAAAAGCTGCTATGCATCACGCTTTTGCAAACACGTTTCGCCCGCACACACACGACTAGCGTAGCAACAACAGCTACCAATCTCAGCTTCTCATAAATTACTTCAGGCAGCGACACAGTAGTACGGTGTACTCCGGCAGCACTGGCCGTCAATGCCAAGAGCTATGCTTTTGGCCCCAGACGACACACTTCCACATTCCAGTACACCATACTACTAGTAAACCTATGCTGGTGAAGATAACTACTTTAGAGCTTTGACAATACATTTTATCAATTTAAACTGATTCACTATTTCCCTTATAGTGCCCCTTGAAATCAGCACAAACTGATTGTCTCGTCCCGTCGCTGCGATAGTCAGTCAAGAGGGCTGACTAACCGGTTGTGTGAGCTGCGGATGACTGTGGTTATGCAGGGACTGCAAAATGATGGTCTCGCCGTGGGTCTCCCAGTCAATGTGCTTGAATTTGTAACGGCTCGGAGATCCCAGATAGATTTCTTGGAGAACCTTGCCATTCATCTTGTCATGGCAGTAAACCCAGTTGTCAGCCGTAAGCGACAGGAAGTGTGCTCTGCAGTCCTTCGCCCGTTCAGGCAACCGGTGCTGCACATATTGACGCAGTGCTGTTTGTACTAACAGTGTGAACTGAACTTCGTTATGCAGGGTAGACTAGCAACAGATGATTAGGTGTACGCAATGAATAACGAAATGTACCCAAACAATACTACGTACGCTGGTTGTATACTAACCAGTGGCCCTGTATACACCAAGGCATCTTCAATTTTTTTGTTTTTCGGCTCCTGGGACAGCCTGTAGAGAGGGCTTGGGCAGAAGTTAAGGCCATTCCTGTTTTATGAAACGTGAAAAATAAGATTCAACGCTTTTTTTTTTTTTTCATTACGACGCACCGAAACTCAAGTCGGGACGCTGTTAACTACGAAAGCAAAGACCCAAATGCTTACAATGCCAAACAGGTCCTGTAGTTGTCAAGGTAGATGTGGCCACTAGAGGAATAATTAGAAAAATCAGCAAGTTATTATGTGTGCGTATCAGTCACTTGAATCAACGGTTAGCTGCTACGTGCTTACTCTTCAAAAGCAATCGGGGACTTCGAGTGGATCTCCCAGAACTTCGTGAACGTCGAACGTTTCTGAGTGGCGCAAGACAACACAACAATACAGGTAGCTTTAGACTCAACAGCCGTAAATGTGATGAATAAAGCTTTGTATTTCAGCTATGCTAGGCAGCGTTCTGGCAGGAAAACTGTAGAGTTGCCATTTCACGACGCGACGCGCCGATAAGTGGCGTAGTAGAGCAATGCACGGAAAAATTATACTGCCTTTCCTCGACTAGACGTGAACCAATAGAATGTAGGAGAATTCACAATAACAAGTAGTGAATTGGTTTAGCCTACTCACGTCACATATTAGCAGACGCAGTATCTTCAGACTGGACCTGTATGGAGACTTTCCGATGCCGATTTCCCGGTACTGTAAAGCTTGAACCGTGCCTCCGCTTTTAATTCGGGGCATAATACAGCGGTCAGCTGTGCCACCGATGGCCTAAATGAGAGGCATCGAGACTTACAGTTGTGTATTTAGACTAATTTTAACGGCGAATTTCAGTTCTAGGCTCCAAATACGACAGCCCGTATCCTACGCGTAGACTGGAGTTCTGCTTCACCGCGCCACCACGCAACATTGTAGCCAATCACAAACACAACATGTAACAGCTGGCTGTTCCCATTTGTATTATAATCATAATAGCGTGCCAAAAAACGCATCAGGTTATAATATTCAACAAAATTATATTTAAAACACTTTTTTAGACTTCTCAGAGTTGAATTTTTACGTGTTAGGCATGCGTCACATGCAATTCAGGGCAGTGAATGTTGGTCTACGAATAAGCAGTTGCCAACATTGTGCCCGTCAAGGTCTCAAAATCAAATCGAAACAAATTTTTATGCTCCCGCGCTGTGTGTGCGTGTTTTCTCGTCGGCGTCATAGCGGTTCAGCCTTTTCGTGCTTAAGTATGGGCAAGAAAGCTCTACTAATCCTCGCCGAAGGCGCGGAAGAGATGGAGGCAATCATCACAGCCGATGTACTGCGTAGAGCTGGCGTGAGTAGCGCGAGTTTTTCGTCGCGTGTGCCCGACGGTCTGCCGGGTCGCTGTTCACCAGCAGAGCCGTGTTTTGGTTTGGTTCACAGTGGCGTCTTATTTCCTTTTAGGTGGACGTCACCATAGCTGGCCTCGCCGGCGCCAGCCCCGTGAAGTGCAGCCGAGATGTTGTCGTTGTGCCGGACAAGAGTTTGGACGAAGCCACGACGCAGTCTCCTTACGATGTAATCGTTCTACCCGGCGGGCTGAAAGGAGCCGAGAGCTTGGCAGCGGTGAGCTCGCGCGCCTTCATACTCGGTCGTAAACACTGTCCTTCGGACTGCGCGCGTTATCTCCGAAGAGGTTTCGTGTAAAATTGCCGTCGCTTGTCGAATGGGTTCCTTTATTTCTGGAACACTGCGCCTTGAGTCTGCGGACTCATTTCCTTGAATCTTTGTATGCTTGAGTTCATGTAGGAGCTGTCCAAACGTGCGGCGACATTCGCCTGAAAGCAGACGTTGCGACAATCGCAGAATCACCATTCATTCGTTTAAAGGGACATTACGGGAGAAACAGTGTTTCGGGTATAAGTGCCTAGGCCTGCATTAACAAACCAACTTTGTCCTTATCGTAGGCTTCTCAACGTTCTACGTGCTATATAAGGGGACAAACACAGAGTGAAAGATAACTGCAGGATTAGTTCCTGAACACCGACATATTTTGTTTATCGAATACACTCGGGGCACACAACCGATAAAGAAAAAAACGAGATATGGTTTGTTTGCAAATACATGGCCCATGCCGGCAAAGTTCTGCTTGGCCTTACATGCCTTACAATTTCAAAACAATCATGCTTGCCGCGAAAAGGCACCTCGTAAAGGAGAAAGCGTGCGAAAAGAAAATGCGGTTTGCTACGCAACCTTTACATCACTGCACCAAACGCCGTGACGTGATCGAAACCGACGGCGTCTACTAGGTCTTACACAGTGTCTACAGGTAAAAATGTAGCAATGCCCCTAAAGGGCGCTACGGACTTGACATACCTGGTTTCGAAAAAATTCATCGACCTCCAAAATGAGAAAACTACTCTCTCAAGTCCGTCAAGTCACAAGTGGAGATTTCGGCGGTAAATTTGAAAATAAAACTTCGAGCTTTATTTTCTTTTCTCTTACTAAATGTGCGATGGTGAAACTAACAACAGTATAGATGAGCTGTCAGAGTACAATGTATCAGTCTGAACTCATTGTTCCACTTTAGTGTCCGGTTAATGCTACACAGAGACACTTCATTTAGTAGTTTTAGCACGTAAAACTGCATAATTTGACTCGTTTGCCTAGACGTAATCAACACCTCATTTGTGCCCCCTTTTATTGCTGTGTCATTGCAGAGTCCAGCTGTCGGCAAGTTGCTGAAGGAGCAGGAAAAGTGTGGACGACTTGTTGCTGCAATATGTGCAGGTAATAGAGGGGTGAATTTACAAGCTGTGGTTAACTTGCTTACTGTTACTATCTTCATGGGAAGGACCGTAGAAATTCAGCTAATTCACTTCCATGAAAGAACCTATCACCATGAACAAAATATATCAGGATCAGGCCCAATCGCGATCGAAAGTGACGGTGTGACACTGGTATGAGCAATTCACAAAATATTGCAAGTTAGCAAGCCTGCAAGACTTGATTCTAACTTAAGCATACAAACTAAAATGCAGACCACGCATTTATTTCGACAGTGGAGTGCCAGAGCAGCAAAGCAGATAGTCTGTGCCATTAATGACTCCCTAAGCCTGACATTTGTGTGTGTGTTTTTTTTTTTTTTCATCTCCACATAGCTCCTATTGCCCTGAAGAGCCATGGCATTGGTCTTGGAAAGCTAGTCACGTCACATCCCTCCAAGAAAGAAGACATATGTAAGGGTGGGTATCAAGAAACTCTGTCCCATGTGACTTGGAAAGATTTCATGCAGTACTCTTATTTCCCTTCTTGGTTTTCCAACCACACGTTTCAGCTACATTCTGTAATTGGTCTTGCAGGCGACTACAAGTACAGCGAAGATAGGGTTGTTGTTGACGGTCAGCTGATCACAAGCCGCGGCCCAGGCACGGCCTTCGAGTTTGCTTTGGCCATTGTCGAAAAGCTGGAGAACAAGCAAGCTGCAGAAAAACTGGTGCCTCCCATGCTGGTCAAGGTGTGACCCGAGCCACTATCGCCACAAAGTTGTCAATTGCCCAAACCCTTCTGTTTCGTTGGTGCTGGCAGGTCTTGCCATGATTAGAGTTGGTTTATCTCCTTACTTCTGACGAAATAAATGACATGTGCATTTTCCGAGTAAGGTGCGTCACGGTTTCGTGTGTCAACGTGTGCACATAAATGTGCAATGTGACCACCTCCTAATGAAACCAACAATGAAGCTAAGAAAGGTACAGGAAACTTAATTTGTATGTTTTAATTGTAGTATGATAATCATGACACCAATGGAAAGGAATTAAAGTGAGTGGAATTGCTGCATGTAGTAACTAAACCTAAAACCTCTGCATAATGAATTGGTAGGGCATCGGATGCGCTATCCAAAGGTCACAGGTACGGTCCCTATCTGCGGAATGTTGATTTTTCATCCGCTTTTATTCTGTTCCATTTATATGGCGGTTACAACAATACAATTTAAACATACAAGTCCCCTATGCTTTAGTTTGTCTATTAGTCTCATAAGTTTGTGTCTGACAAAAGAAAAGAGCCCTTGATCAATCGCCCCTCCCTCTTTCATTCATGTTACCACATTTCATAAATATAAACTTTCTTGTGATGGCCGCTTGTTGGTATAGCTGCTCATCTGTGGATACCGCACTGAAGTTTTCAGAGGGGAAGGCGGTGCACGTCATGCCAAGATAGCCTTGAGTGCAGTTGCAGTCTCCCCTAAAAGTAGAAATAAGTAATTGTCTACCTATGCTGGCTTTTAGATAAATAGAAGACTCAGTAGTAGTGTGAAGCTACAGAGTTGCACTGTATTTGGTGGACACTGGTGTCCATATGACCAGTGCCACAACTTTCATTCGAAAATAAAGTCTATGGCTGTCCAGCAATGTTGAAAAGACTCTGTAGAGAAACTGAAAAATGTTGGCTCTCTGTGAGTTGTTATTCTCTCCCACCCTTTGTATACCTCAACCAAATGCAAGGTAAAATGTGTGTAGCATCGATAAACTAAAATGCTCGGTTGGATAGATGATGAGAAACTTTCACTCTGATTTTTCAGAACGATTTTTGCATGTTAGATTTTTTAAATATAGTTATTGCTACCAGAGTACTATGCAAGCTTTGAAGATCCGATGTAGGAGCACGTACAACAAGTAGCTCACGACCGAAAGCATTCACCATAAAGGTAACTTATTAGTAAGGATATTCTACAATTCAACATATACTGTTTAGTTGATGGAGTCTTCGACAACACACCATATCAATTGTTTTGACTGCATGGTTACCGTCAGAGGCTACAGTGCTGATTATTCTAAAGCAGACATAGTGCAGGCATTAAAAGCTTCAAAATTTCAACAGCTCGTGCCATTAAAAGCAATATCAGGAAAAGCTTCTAGCACTTCTGTTGCGCGGGTGCACTTCTGCAGTCTGCACTCAGTGGAACGACAAATGAAAAAAAAAAATGCCTCTGGTTTCAAAGCCCCACCCAACCTTATCAACCGCCCGTGACTCGATGCTAGCTTCCATCGCAATCAATTAAACACAGCGCGCTGGGGGCTAGATATGACTTTTTTGCACTGTTGGCTCATTCAAAAGGGCGTGTCGCCAGAGCTCGGAAAGATCTCGAGTTTTCGCCAAGCTCGGGCGATCCTGCATAGCGCCCCTGGGCCTATGACGCAAGTTTTTCTGCGTCTATACTATCATTTGTCGAGCGAGAAAAAAAAAAAAGTTATTTTTAGCTGGCTCTAATAACTTATTGTAAATTTCAGGCCGCGGGCCAAACTGTAATGTTTGGCTCGCGTGTTCTCGGCTACCGAGCGGCAGCGATTTACAGCGAAAGCTGTTATGAGATCACAACTGGGTCACGCGCAGTTGTCCGCCGGTGTCCGTAACCGCATCGCGCGAAATTGGAAGAAAAAAAAAATTGGCAGCATATCCACGGGGTGAATGATCGAGAGTGGGGCGAAGCATTCGTCCGTCCATTCGTTCTTGCTTCCGTCCATCCATGCGTCCGTCTGTGTGACTGTCCATGCGTCCGCCCGTCCGTGCGTGCGTCTGTTCGTGCGTCCGTCCCTGCGTTCGTTCATGCATCTGCCCCTGCGTCCATTCATGCGTTCATCCATGTATCATTCTGTGTGCCCATTCGCCCATCTATTCAACACTCCAAGTGTCCCCATCTCGCATCTTTTCATGATATATTCCCCATATAGAAGCACCCCCATCCAGCGGACATTCCAAGGACTAAACGAGAGGTGGCACACGCACACTTTCTTACGGCTTGCGCTTCGTGTTTACTTCCCACCTTTAACCACCTCGAGTTCATGGTATATGCTAGTTCATTGTATTCATGGCACTGCGGCTCAACGCTCGCTAAACCTTTCTAAAACTAAGGAGGTTACACCCAGCGAGTATAACGTAGCAACCCTTTCTTGTCAATAGTGCTCAATGTACATGCCAATGGCTGCTAATGGGGATCGCAGCGTGCGCGTTAACTAAAAGCTGAATGCTCCTGTCTCTCATTCCCCATTGGCATGTACATTGAGCACTATTTTTTAGTGTTCAACAACGCACAGAAGAAATCTCTCACCGGCACCACCTTAGACGTCAAAATGTTATACTTGTTACACACTACAAGGGTTTGAGGGACGAACGGGTGCCGCTATAAGGAGCTTCGCCTCTAAAATGGCAGATCCCATGTACAGTGGGAATCGATTATATGCGAAACACGAATGAGAAAGGTTGATACGGTCACTTTAAGATCAGCACAACGTTACGAGGTGGAGGTAAATGACGTCTTACATGTAATGAATATCATGTTTGGATATGTCGTTTACCTTCGCCATCTATTCACGTCATGTGATACCAAATTTAGTATATGTCGAGCTAGCGAAACGGCCGCAAGCACGTTATTCACGTTGTATGTTGTCATGTTCTTACATGACATGCGTGCCAGGATTATCATGTTTGCAACAGTCGTATATTTGGTCATCCATTGACGTCACTTAACACCAAATTTGGCATATGTGGAGCTAGCAAACCGGTGGCGAGCGCATCATGAAGGGCCCAATATACTCCAATGTAGCGATGACGCGCGCGCACGCTGGGCACAGCGGCGCTACGTTAGCAAAACGCGAGCACTCTATAGTCGGACGCCAGGCCACGGCCAGGCGCGATCGACCAGCGTCCGTCGGCGCGGCCCGACGGTATGGTGGCCCTCTTCTAGCCACCATACCGACGGCAACCGGCGCGAAATTCGCCCCGATGCCCAAACAACCCTGCGTTTCTCTCTTTTCGTGACGGAGGGACGCCGGACGCGCTGAAACGCGCATGCGTCAAAGCCACGCAGCGCGGCGCGTGACTGCGAGTATTTGCCAGGACCGGCGCCTGGCGTGGCAACGCCGGCGTGACGCGACGAAATAAACGCCGGCGAGCACGCGCACCACGTCACGTCGCAATGTATTGGCGCCTGTGGCATGTAGTCATGTTCTCACATGTCACGCATCTCGTGATTATCATGTTTGCACCAGTCACATACCTTCGTCATCCATTGACATCACGTAATACCCAATATGGCATATGTGAAGCTGGCGAAACGGCTACGAGCGCATCATGAGCGTAGCATGTAGTCATGTTGTTACATGACACGCATCTCATGTTTATTATGTTTGCACCAGTATCATGCCTCCGTCATCCATTCACGTCCCATAATGCCGAATTTGGTATAAGCAACGCTATAGCGAAACGACCGCCAGCGCATCATGAGCGTGGCATGTAGTCATGTTGTTACATGACACGCATGTCATGATTTTCATGTGAGGGTCGGTCGCTTGTGTTCGCCATGCAATCATGTCATACTATTCCAGTTTGGCAACATAACATGTGAAGGAAACCAACGCAACCGCTGCAGGAGCGTGAAATGTAAATCACGATATTCATGACATACATGTCATGATTTTCATGTTATGACAAGTCAAATATGTTCTTCATACAGTCATAATATGCCATACCAAGTTTGGTATCGATACCATTATAGAAACGGCCAGGAAAGCTAAAAGTCGTGGGCGGATAGATAGATAGATAGATAGATAGATAGATAGATAGATAGATATAGATAGATAGATAGACCAGTATTATATATACCACTGAGCTACGCTGGTGCTTGTGATTCGTTGCCAAACCTAGCACCAAAGACACAGTGGGGCTCGAACACGGGTCCGCTGGGTGCCAGCCCAGTATTCTACCACTGAGCTACGCTGGTTTTTTAGATGCGGAGCATCTTATACTCGCGCCTTGTAGTGCGCCGTCCGCGCCGTCCGCACCGCTTCTCGAACATTCGACAGCTGACGCGCGCGCATGCGCCGTCGCGCCGTCGCCCACTCTTCCACCATCTGTGCATCTCTTCCTCCTCTACACACCGCGCGTGCTTCACTCCTCCACCATCTGTGCACCCTTCCTCCTCTACACACCGCGTTCGACATCTACAATTCTCCTGATTCTCCAGTGGACGCGCATGTGGCGTCGCGCTTCGAGAACATTCAACAGCTGACAGTGCATGCGCCGTCGAGCTGTATATATACTCAAGGTCGGCGCTCGCTCGCTCAGTTGCCGCTCGTCGGTTGGTTTGTACGGCGCGTCGACGTCCAAGGTCGCGGTGAAATGAATTCCAACGAATCCACAAACACAATGATCGACGTCCCTTCGACCAGCGCCGCCCTTTCGCATACGTGTGTACGTGTTCACTCATTAACACCCCCTCCTACAACCACGTTAACCAATTTAGCCATCGACCCAAGTAAGTCGCAATTTAACACCCCATTTCACAACCACGTTAACCAATTTAGCCATCGACCCAAGTAAGTCGCACTTAAACACCCCGTTAACCAATTATATGCTCCGCATCCTCCTCAGTGTTCCCCCGAGGGAAGCTGCGGGCAATTTTTTTTTCCTTTATTTCCGGTAAACTTCACAAACGGGTTACTAAGATGTATTACAATTCACTACATACAATACAAAAAAAACTTAAAACATAACTATAACATATCGCATCCTAAAATTCCTTCATGGTCAGTAGGGCTTCTACCCTTTCTACCCACAAAGGTACACATTCGTCTGTTCTTACTACCTCAAGAAATCTTGAGATGC